AAGGCCGCCCGTTTCTTCCCCTCTACATTTCTCAGCTGTGAAATGTGTCTGACAGCAGCACCTTCGCTGGGATGCTGCAGAGATGGGCATTTGCAAAGTATTGGGCACAGTGCTTGCCACTGACCAAGGGTTGTGCTGACATTTGTACCACCTTCCTGGCCTGTAGCATCTTCTTCCTCAGCTTGCCTAAATATGGGTTCTTGCCTGAGCCACACTGAACAAAAGTGGCTGTTGGTTTGGATTTGGACCAAACCTGGCTCTGCTCAGGGACTACTTCTGGCTCAGTGCTTGGAGAGGCCACGTGGTGCTTGGGACTGAACCTGAGTTTCTGCATCTGCGCCTGCACCTCTGAGCCCTCTCCCTCCTGGGCCTCCAGGGACACCACTTCACAACACATCTGACCCCTGGTGGCTGCATGAATCCACACTAATGGAGGAGAGAGCGGGTAAGGGTCTTTGGGGATCCTGTGAAACAGCCTATATGAAAGGTATTGATCGGTATTCATTTTCAGGCTGGCTGGGCTGATCCAATCGTGCATGCCTGCTAGAAGAAGAAACCCATCCACACAGTTCCCTGCTAATCTTTCATAGTGTCCCTGGGGGTCTCAGCCTCCTCTCCAGCTCTGGACTGGTGGGAAAGCAGCCAGGGCCTGGGCCTGGGCCTCTGCTGCCCTCTTCTGTTCAAAGTTAGGAGTTCCTGCTGGCTGGACCCAAAAGGACTGGGAAATCCCCTCTGCTCTCAAACTCTTCTTTACCCTGATGCTTTAGTGCATCCATGGATTCATCTTAGTGCAGTAAGTGGTGAGGAAGGACGATACCTCCAGATTGGCTGGAGTTGAGACTAGGAAATCTCCTGACTGAAGGAGCTGTGGCATTGGGCTGGGTTCTCCTTTTAGGAATGTTACGGATTTCCCGTCCTCAAAGAACCTGACAGATATGGATCGAGAAACAGATCGCTTATTCCAAGGGCACAATTTTGCATTGAATTCCATCTGCCCACCTGCACCCAGAGAGAAATTCTAAGACAACAGGGGATGGGGAGAGAGTTCCAAAAGCTAGAGACACGTGCTGTGCTCGTGGGAGCCTTGGCTGGGGCTCAAACACTCATCTCCACCCCGCCCCCAGAATTAGTCGCAGAATATGAACAGCACCCTAAGAATACTGATAATGACGTGGCAAAAGCTGGCCAGCAAGCGAAAAAAGTGGGGGAAGGGGGCCAGTGGGAAAGTACGGTGGGAGGACGTTTGCCTCGCACACTACTGGCCTGGGTCCAATCCCCAGCATGCCATACAGTCCTCGTGCCCCACTAGGAGTGAGTCTTGTGCTCAGAGCAAGAAGGAAGCCCTGAGCACAAGCAGGTGTAACCCCAGAACAAAAACCACCACCAAAGTCGTGGGAAATGCATGGTAAAGTATTACAGGGCTGTAGTCTTGGTTTGAACCCCCAACATTGCATATGGTCCCCCGAGCACCCAAGGGCAATGCCGAGCAGAGTCACAAATACCCCCTGAGCACTGCTACCTGCGAGCCAACCCTTCCCCACACCCCTATCCCCAGCCTCCACTTTCCTTTTAGGATGTGCTGGTGCTCTGGGCCCGTTGAATTCTTGCAGTTTCCCCTTCTGTTCTCACCTGTCAAGACATTTGTCTCTCGCTGTACACGATTAGCTGAATGTGTGGAGTTTTCAGACCCCCCGATAAAGCCTGCTATTGGGACAGGAAGACGGCTTAGTAGGGTGGGCATTGGCTCTGCAAGTTGGAGGCGGCCCGGGCTCAATCACCCTGGCACGTGGCCCCTCAGCACCACCAGGTGTGGTCCAGAAACCAAAACGTGAATTAGATTGTTGGGTATAGGTTAAAACTCTCGGAAGACTGGAGAAAATGAGTGCTCAAGCCTGAGTCCTCTCAAACCAGCTAGCAGCCATTTGTGCATTTCTGTTATTTTACTGCAGTGCCAGGAGCCAAGCCCAGAGCTCAGCGATAATCGCTCAGTGACGACCCAGCCTGCTTCAGCCACTTTAAAGGGAAGTGAGAGGCACAGATAGTGCATGCCATTATGAATTAAGTCCCTTGCCTCTAAACTAAGTTTTCTCAAATTTTAAGATTGAATGGAAACACATGAATTAGGTTAAATGGAATTCATCCTTTAACTGACTTCTTAAAAAGTTGTTAATCTATCTAATTAAATGCAAAAGCAGCTTTCTCAAGGCTTCCTCTCCTGTAGAGTCCTGCTAAAAGTGTGATCATAAGGCCGGAGAGACTCCAGCATCCCGGAGAGCCCCCCACACACACCCCCTAAGCTCAGGGCCAGGAGTGAGCCTTGCCCCTCGCTGTGGCTCAACGCTTCTTCACCCCCAATTTAGTCACAGCCCGAATCAGTGCTTGAAGCTGCACTCCAGGGGCCAGGGAGACCACCCACAGGCAGTGCACATGTCTGCATGCTCCAAGCCCAGGTCTGATCCCAGCACCCCCTGCCTGGGCTCATTAAAGCAACCCAAGGAAAACTCCATGTGCTCCCTTCTCCCCCAACAAGCACACGCACACACACTCACCCTAGTTCCCAACTGGGCACATCTGCAGGACCTCGATTTTCATAGGGAAGAGGGTGTTGCTTGGCCATTTTGTTTTCTCAGAAAATCAATTTCTAATTTCTCTATTTTCCCATCCCATGGAAAGCAGAATGAATAGTCCCTACGGCCTGCACTTACCTGGAACAGATCAAATGACAGCATAATCCCATTCCCTATCACAATGCACAGAATCCCGAAAACATGCGCCGACTTCTCCGTCCCTGCACAATTCACCCAGAACTGAAAACAGGGAGCTGGGAGCATCTATCTGCTGGGCACTGGCTCTCGATTTACCAATTATAGTGATAAAGATGTAAAGATATTCCTACGTAAACAATTTTGAAACATGAAAACTGGTTTATATAAATTTGTAAGAAGTGAAATATACACTTTACAAATTGATTTATATACTTTGAAAATAAATTTACAAACAGTGTCACTTTATACAATGCTTCATTTAGGCAGATTTTCAGTAACATTTCTATTACACATTACACATGGATCCCCTCTGAGAAAGTTGAGGGGCATAACAGAACCCCATGCAGAGGTCTGAGGGGCACCAGGCATCAGGCTGTCACTCCAGTGCTCAACAAGGAGCTAGGGAAGAGATCTGGTTCCCCTATGGATGAAGGCAAGGCACTGGGATACTCACAGTCTTCGTTCTTCTTCTCAAAAGACAGTTTCATCAGCAGGGGACTGTGTCTTATCATGATGCCCCCTCCCCCCAAAAAAAACCCAACCAAGAAAAACCTCTGTTAATGTAGACTAACACACAGTCAGTTTCCGAATAGCCAACAGGCAATGGCACCCATAACCCATTAATCCAATTCTATCTCCTGTTAAAGGTGTAGAAGCTTCTACAATCCATTCTGGTCGGTCTGCTTAATGGCTGGAAACCTTGATGGGACTTAGCCCATAAAATCACACATGGGAACTAAAATCCAATCAATACTCTATTCAGACCAGAGCAGGTTTTAATAAAATGGCAAATATAAATCAAGAACGTAATGGCAGGGGGTGGGGGTGTTAGGAATTGGGGGAGGAGGGGCAGGTTCCACTATGATGGGGCATTGAGAGTGGACCAAGTAGGAAGAGACACTGATCCCCTTCCAGGTAGGCATCAGGTATCCACAGGGCCCACGTGGCTGTTTATGGTGAGGTAGTGACAAAGTATGTGCATCTCAAGTATTGCTTCAAACTGTGGTCCCCAAACCTCAACATCTTTACATCTCTCAAGTTCTGCATAGTAAAAAGAGTAAAAAACAGGTATTTGTTGTTGTTGTTGTTTTTCGAACCAACACCATCAGAGGTGGCATCTCTGGACCACCCAGGCTGCTGAAATGAACTCTGCAGAAAGGTCACTGGGCCAAGGATGTGACTTTGGTTCAATCCCCACCACCAAAGAAACAAAAAAGAAAACAAGGGAAATCCCACCACTGTAGCCAATCCTGGGCAAGAGTTACATAATCATTCTTCAGACTAGAGGCTATAAACAAGCCCTTTACATAAGAAATTCCCTAGATACCAATTTAGAAGGGAGAAAAATAAAAACCAGCTGGAACAGCCCAAAGGGTGACCACGGTGCTGAGTTGACTAGATTCTTTATTCGAGGTGCCAGGGATTGAACCCAGAGCCCCACACTTGCAAGGTGGGCACTACTCACAACCTGGCCTCCAGTGTTTCCTTACTGCCTGATCTTCCTGGCTCAGGGTCCAGTACACAGTCCTTTTGTCCATCTCGCTAACTGCAGGAAAGTGTGTGGTTCTAGGGGCAGTGTATTAGAAACCCCCCTGGGAGACGGGGGCACTTCACAGTAAGACACAACAAAGCATGGCGCTAGGGTAGTATCACTCTGCCATCACCCAGGGAGACAGAAGGGGACTGACAGGGAGGTAAACATCCTGTGTTCTGAGAGCACTTGTCACTGTCCAGTGCCAGGGGCCACTCTGGGAGAGCTGAGGACAAGTCCAGGCTTCATTCTTCTCCCCCAGCACGTGAGCGTCTGGCGCCCGCACTTCAGTGCCAAGGGATGTCAGAAGACCAGGCTCTCTCCCAAGAGGGAGCAGCTCCACGCATCCACACTGGCCTTCCTTCTCACTCCCTTAGAGGGCAGAGATCTACCTGACCAAGGCACGGTTGGGACTGTATGGAGAGAACCTGGTGGCAGTGGGTGAGCTCCACACCGGAGATGCCAGGAAGGCTTTCTGATGCCAGCAGCTCAGCTACGATCTCAATGGAGCTAGCGAGACTGGCATCCTTGCACCAGAGTCAGGGGGCTCGAGGCATCAGGATATTTAAAAAGACCAAACCGCTATTTTCCCCGAACGTACTCTGGACACTCTACTGTGTCCAGATTCTTCTCTATGGGCCCCAGAACCCCCATCAGACAAGGAAAGATATCACAACTGTGGGAAAACTGCAGACAATTAGGAGTCATTCTTAAAGAGATTTAATTATTTTAATTGCAGAAAAGGGGATAATACATTTAAATCTCTGCTACATCACAAACTGCTGTTTTGTTGTTGTTGTTGTTTTATTAGAGACCCACTAGTTCTACCCATCTGTAGGCTTATGGCTATAGAGTGTGGGGAAAACAACTATTAGCAACAAAATAGGATAAAGCAAGCAAGAATCTGTTCACCAGAATGTCTTCTCCACTGCAGAAGAGGGTCCTTGAAAAGAGGAGGAAAAGCTGGGGACGGTCCACCACCAGGAATGACAACCAGAGCGAGAAAGAGGGGAGGAAGATGGGAAGGCAGAAGCTGGTGTGCCCAAGTTTTCCTTTGCACACCACACCCCTAGGCCAGATTCCCTGCCAATCCCAACCTAACGAGGATATTCTTTTCCAAAGAGGGCTGATTTGAAGATGGGAATCACTTGCCTATATTCTGAGGAAGCTTATGAAGACAGCATGGCTTTAGAGACAGGCTCCATATCCGCAGAAGATGGGGATGCGCAGGGCATGGCGGAGGCGCCGTTCACTAACGGGGACTGGAGCAGGAGACAAAAGAATCCCCTAACGTGTGCAGGCTGACAACCACGGCTACCGCAGCCTAGGCGGGCAGAAGCAAAAGCAAGCGTTCCCCTCTGGCTCCTCGGAGCCCACAGGATGAGGGGCAGAAGCAGCAGGAGCATGATGCCTCTAAAATAACCAGCGCTTAGTGTTCTATTAGGACCAAGGATTTATTCCACAATATAAATGGCAACATTGCATACAAGCTACCAAAAAAACCAGGAAGGGGAGGGCGGGGCAGGGAGGCAGCGGGGAGCCACAGGGGTCACAGCGGGGCGGCCGCTGACGGAGCAGCCGCACGGCTCCGCGTCACGAGCTCCTCCGTGACTCGAGGGACTAGACAGTCGCCTTCTGCACATCAGACCAAATGCTAAAGCACCAACACACTGTTCGGAAGTTTGTTTTGTTTGCTTTAATTCCAGCCACTGAAACCAACATAGAAGTTATTGCTTAGATAAATAAACCTAGTCTACCAGGAAAAAGAAAAGCGGATAAGGAAACAAAAACCCCAAAATGAAAAAAGTAAGTTCCCCAATATGGTAACAGAGTAAACAAGAGAGAAGTTCCTCGAATGAGGATTTACTGGAATTTCTGGTGCCCTTCTGGGCACTGAAATTGAGTTGAACTCTTATGCCGGTAAATCCCAGTTAGAGGTCAGATTTTAATGCTATCCACGAGAAGGTGCACGCTCCAATGCCTTCCAAATTGGTGGAAACCCCTGCAAAAAACAGTCAGCATTTCAAACCTCAACAACCACAAACAGCTCTTAAGGAAAAAAATACAAAAAGTGTCAAAAAATTTTTTTAGTTGTTTTTTCTTTTTTTCAAAGAGTTCTGGAAAAATGATCCCATAAGGAGTAGAAATAGCACCTTTTACAGGCTGGATTAAAAGCCAGTCCTGTAGTTTTGCTGAGAAATTGAAGAAATCTTCTTGGTTGGAGTCCTGAATTACATTAGGTAAGGGTGTGTGTGTGTGTGTGTGTGTGTGTGTGTGTGTGTGTCTGTGTGTCTGTGTGTCTGTGTGTCTGTGTGTGCTCGTGTGTGTGCAGTGTGTCTATTTCCGGCTTGGTGCGTCCTTCACAGTGCAGCGCACACAGATGTAGTCTTCTTTCTCTGCCATCTCTGGAGAAACACCAACACAGACCTGATGAAACCACTGATTGCAGCTGCCATCACACTGGACCCAGTCCACCTGGTTACAAAGAGCAGGGAGATGGGGTTTTCAGAGGAAAAAATGTGATTCAAAATTGGGTCGGCCAGCCTCAAGATATTCAGGCCATTTGCCATTAACGGCCACTGACCCACCACTGGGGCCTCTGGCAAAACAGCTAAGCCAAGAGTGTGGCTGGCCCACCAGCCAAAGCAACCAAGTCAAAGCCATTCTTCAAGTCGTGACTGCTTTGGGGTTAAGACAGCGCCGCCCTGTGGTAAGTAAGCAAAAGGGCATTACATCAGCATCCCTCCCACCTTCTTAGCGCCGGGACGGTGAAAGCTGCAGAAGCAGGAAAAGGAAAAAGGGAAGCATGTTTTAAGAGTTTCTTCAGGAAAAGGGAGAAGACCCAGGAACGATGGTAAGAGCACAGGTATCAGTGGGGGAGGGCTGAGCAATCCATTCAGATCAGCTCAAAGCAGAGAAGCAGAAGAGAAAGACCCAGCGAGATGAGGTCTGGCTTACAGGGTGTCTGAGCTAGGGGGAAGCATGTCCTCTATGGCCCACACCTCACTGACCTCATCTCCTTCTGGCTGCAGGCAGCTCACAGCTGGGCAGATGGCATCTTCGTCCTCAGACTCCTCCTGTTCAGAATAGGATGTATCTGAGGGCAGGGAATGAGTTTCAGCGCAACGAGCTGACTCATAGCTACGCTCTCTCTCTAACTTGAAATTGTTCATGTCCTTTGGGTGGCTCAGTTTAATTTTCTTCTTTTGGGGGTTCCGCATTTTCTGGGCTCGGTCCCACCGCTCACTGGAGAGGCCCTCTCTTTCCAGGCGTCTCTTCGCTTTTCTCTCAAGACTGTTGATTCCACCATCACGCTTCCCGCGGCAGCAATCATTCTGGGCACAAGACAGCAAACACAATTTTAGACTACCGTCTGCTTAGTAAACCCCAAAAGCTAAGTCACTGCCATGTGAGAAATGAGCTGTTCCACACACAGTACTGCAAGAATGGCCCATCGTCACCGGAGCCGCCCCCTCCACTCATGCCTCTAGAATCTACAGGGCTTGGGCTTAACTTCTGCCCCAGTTGATGCTACGAAAAGGATACCGGGAAAAGGAAATGATAAAGATGGATTCAGTCTCCAAATCAGCCACCCAGTACAGGAGAGGGAGACACCTCTGCCCAGTCCATAACCAAGTGACCAGTGACTCTAGTTTCTAGCTAGAAATTAGTATAGCATTTTTCTGCTGAATAACTAGTTTAGCCCCTGACAGACTCCTAAGGAATTATGTATCTATCCCTTTAAGGACATACATTCTTGGGGCCAGAGAGTTGGGCAGGGCAGAGACACTTGCTTTGTGCACAGCCAAACCCAGTTCAAATACCAGCAGAGCCAGCTAGGAGAAATAGGATGTAAGCCCTAAGGATCAGGTGTGGTTCCAAAACCATAAATGATACTTCCATTCTCACCACTCATGGGAGTAAGGTATGTTAACATAACCAATTATGGTGCTATACTATTTGTCATAGTAACACTGTAGCACTGTCCTCTTGTTGTTCATCGATTTGCTCGAGTGGGCAACAGTAACATCTCCATTGTGAGACTTGTTGTTACTATTTTTGGCATATCAAATATTCCACAGGGAGCTTGCCAGGTTCTGCTGTGCGGGCGGGATACTCTCGGTATCTTGCTGGACTATCTGGAATCGACCCCGGGTTGGCTGTGTGCAAGGTAAACGCCCTACCTGCTGTGCTACCTATTTGTCATAGTAGCACTGTAACACTGTCCTCCCATTGTTCATCAATTTGCTCGAGGGGGCCCAGTAGCGCCTCCATTGTGAGATTTTGTTGTTACTGTGTTTGGCATACTGAATACGTCACGGGTAGCTTGCCAGACTTTGCCGTGCAGGCGAGATACTCTCGGTAGCTTGCTGGGCTCTCCGAGAGGGGCAGAGGAATTGAACTCGGGTCAGCCAGGTCAGCCATATGCAAGGCAAACAACCTACCCGCTGTGCTATTTTAAATGCCAGTATCATGCCAGTATCATTTCACTCCCCCCCCCCTTTTTTTTTGCTTTTTTTGGGTCACACCTGGCGATGCACAGGGGTTACTCCTGGCTCTGTACTCAGGAATTACCCCTAGCGATGCTCAGGGGACCATATAGGATGCTGGGAATCGAACCCGGGTTAGCCACGTGCAGGCAAACGCCTTAACAGCTGTGCTATTGCTCCAGCTCCACCCACCCCATTTTTTTTTTTTTTGGTGGTAGGGGGTGGGTTTACCTGGCAGTGCTCAGGGGTTACTCCTGGCTCTGCACACAAATTATTCCTGGTGATCGGGGGACCATATTGGGTGCTAGGGATTGATGCCAGGTTGACCGGCAAACGCCCACTGTAGCCCCAAAGCCAGTATCATTTCTCATGCGTTTTTCATGAAATTTATCCCACTCCTGTCTAGGAACCTCCAATGTCACAGGCCAGTTCCTCACTGAAGCGGCAGCAGGCCTTTAACAAGTCTAAGAAACAGGAGAATAAGTATTTATTCCACCCTTAGGCAACTAGGCACAAAAAACAGTCATCCTCAGTCTTGGGCACTGGGTTGTTAGAGATCTAGGGCTACAATGAATACAGGAGCAAAAATGTCTTCAAAAAATTGCTTTAGGGCCTCAAGGTAGATGCTGCGAAGTGTGGAAGGTCAATTCTTGATTTTCTGAGAAGTGTCCATGTTGGTTTCCAAAGAGACTGAACCAGCCAACAATCCCCCACCAGTGGATAAGGGATCCTTTTCCCCTACACCATGCCAGCACTGATCATTCTGATTTTTGTGCTGTGTACAGACATGTGCACTCCTGCTATACTATGTGAGGTGTGATGTGCTCAACTGTTTTGATTTGCATTTCCTCGATAACTGATCCTGAACAGTTTTTCATAAACTTATTGGTCATCCGCATTATCATCTTTAAGCTCTTCTCTCCGTTTTTTGATGAGGTTGTTTGTTGTTTGCTTTGTGGGCGGAACACTTGGCTGTGTTCAGGGACCACATGGGGTGCATGAATAGAACCCAGGTTGGCTGTGTGCAAGATGCAGTACCTATCTCTCTGGCCTGGCTCTTTGGGCTTCCTTTTGCAAAGCTTCACAAATGCTTTATACAATCTGGATATTAACCTTTCGTCAGTAAGTGGTAGGCAAATAATTTCATCCGCAGGTTTCTTTCAATTCTAGTCACTGTTTCTTTTTGGCATAGAAGCTTCTTAGTTGGCTTCAGATGCTGCTTGTCTGCTTGGCTAATGGCACCGTGTCACTGAAGATCCTGAAAGACTCCATGTCACGGAGGTTCTGCCTATGTCCTCCTCAATATAATCGACAAATCCAGGTCTGGCACTGACGTCTTTAACCCATTTTGAACTGACTTGTGTGTAAGCCGTGGGGAAGGAGTCTGAGCTGGCTCTGTATGTGTGGCTGACCAGCTTTCCTAAAACCACTTGCTGAAGAGCTTTCCTTGCTCTACCTCATACTCCTCACTCCTCTGTCCAAACCTGGCTGTCCATTACCTAAGGACCCATCTCTGGGTTCTTTGTTCTATTTCACTTGTCTGGGAGTCTCTTTATTCCAGGACCACACTGTCCTGATTTTATATAAGGATTTATAGTAAAACTTAAAGTCGAGGAAAGAGGAACTGGAGCAATAGGTAGGACGTTTTGCCTTGTACATAGATGTTTCCCAGCATGCCTGAGCACTATCTGGAGTACTTCCTGAGTACAGAGCCAGAGCATTGCCAGGTGTGGCCCAAAAAGCCAATCAATCAGAGAAAAGAAAATGCCTTCCACCTTCCTTTGTCCTAAGACTGTAGTATGTATACCCCATAGGCGATTATTCAGCTAGAAGAAACGATGTAATCATGCAATTTGTGGCTGGATGACACTAGAGGTATGTCAGAGGAGAGGGACAGATACAGAATATCTCTGTGGATGTGGAATATAAAGAAACAATGTAAGGTAATAAATGGTCAAAGGCGACAGACCCTGGGAGCAGGTCTCGAAAACTGAGCTCACCTAGAAGGGGCAGTGGGAGTCCATGGGACACTGGGAGGGAAGGAAACACTCTGAAAGGGGTGGCACTACAAACTTGTATGCATAAAAACCTTTTTTTGTTTTTTTTGGGGGGGTCACACCTGGTGCTGCACAGGGGTTACTCCTGGCTCTGCACTCAGGAATCACTCCTGGTGGTGCTCGGGGGACCACATGGGATGCCGGGGATCGAATCTGGGTCGGCTGCATGCAAGACAAACGTCCTCTCCGCTGTACTATTGCTCCAGCCCCTTGCATGAAACTTTTGGAACAGTATTATGAATCACAGTACCTCAATAAAGTGGGGGTGGGGGAAGAGAATAAAATGGTCATCCTTGAAAAAAACCCAGACCGTGAGCAAGCATCTGCAAGTGACAGCCTGGGGTTGGGGCTGTGGACTGGACAGTCTGCACCCTTCTCTCAACTGAGGACGATGCTTCTGCAGGTACTGACACTGAGAAGTGCATCCCCTGGCCAGCCCCCGCCTTCCCCAGAACCCTCCCAGCACTCACCTTCTCAGTGCTGGGTCTAACGGGGGAGCTCCGGTCAGTTTGCTGAGCAGGGCTTGGCTTTGCAAGTAAAGTCTGGTAAAGTTCCTGAATTTCAGGAAGGGATACCTGGAGCAGCTGGGCTTCCATCAACAGCTCATTCACTTCTGGGCTGATACCTACGGAAGAACAAATCATAAGGAAGACAGCAAGTAGTTCACACTGTCCCTGCAGTTTAGTCCTGCTAGACATCTAGGCCGACTCCTCTTATCACCCCAACTCTGACCTTTGACAATTATACGCAGATGAAATAAGGTTCACTTTACATATCCTAAAGTCACAACATAACAGAACCAAACTAGTTTCGCCCCCAGTTGTGACCATGAGCTAAGTAAAAGTTCCACACTAGATCCCATCTCTTGTTTGCTACTAATGCAAAGATACTATATACGCTGCCTGGATAATCTCTAATAGCATCAAACTATCCAGGACACGAATCAAGTAACTAGACATATACTGGTCTAGTTACCCAGGGCGCTGTGTCTATGGGCATAGCTGCAGCTTTGGGCAGAATTCCTGGAAAACTCATTTATAGATAACGAGGCGGGAAAGGAGCTTGTTTCCAAGTGTGCACGATCGCTACAATCTTCCACAAGAGCGTCAAGTACCGAAGTAGCAAGGGAACTTAATAGCTGACTAAAATACTTGATATTTAGTCATGAAAGCAATAAAAATGATTCTTTCCTCTATTCCCTTGTGCTTATAAACCTTCCAATATGATTCTTCATTTTCTTTTGCAAATCTGACATTTGGGGATAAACCCCCTTTTAAAGTAGCTGATCATTTACAGCAGACAGTCTACTGCAAGATCTTTTGTCATTACTCAATCCTTAAATAAAGTTCATTTCTGTTTGGCTGGTTTGGGTCACACCCAGCAGTACTCAAGAGACCGTATGACCTGGGTTGGTTATGTGCAAGCCAAGCGCCCTAACCTGCTGTACTGTCTTTTCTCCTCTAAAAATAAATTTTAAACCAACTACAAACCATGGAGAGGGATACGACTCCGCACAGTAGAGAAGGGAGAGTGTGAATATGAGGTTCTGTTGTCCCGATCATCAGGCAAAGCAGAGGATGATGTGCCAGTAGGTTGAGAGACCTAAGTAAGAAAAACATGTGTGATAAGGATTTTTAGGGTGGAAAATACATCTACTGGCCAATAAAGTACCCTGGGTTTGGAACAGGCAACCAGGCAAAGGAAGCCCTGACTTCCCAAAGCTGAGAGGGAGGTTCCCTGGTATCCTAGATTTTGCCAGATCAGTTGTATCTGCTAAATCTTCAATGTTTTCACTGGATCTGACTTCAGAAGAATGCCATTAGGCAAAAACCGAGCAAATTCCGTATCCTTTTATCCCTATGTCCTTTTCCCTATGAAGAAACACACAGGAACGTAGACATAGCATATCCTGTTGTGTAGCACTGAGCGCCTTCATCAGGGCAGCGGGGATGTTGGCACCGGAATAGGGGCTGTCTGCACGGAGCCGGAGTGCACACATGGGCACGCCCCCACCTGCCTGTCAGACACCACCCAGGGCTACCCCCAGCATCCAGGCAAGATTGCTGTGACTACCAGTGCCACCATCAAGCACATCCTCAATGCCACAATCCCAACAGAGGCTGCAATAAACATTCCTACAGCCACGGATGAGCAAATCAGGATCTGCTCTATTCTTCCCTCTGACACGTTAATAGCCAGAACCCATCCAAGCAGCACAACTGGATCTGCCATCTGCAAAGTGCCAGTTTCTGCATTTCAGTGTGGCCATGAGAAAACACATGTGACTAAAATCAACTTCTTGTTCTCATCTCTCATTTGCTCCACATTTAACTCTTGTGATTTATGTTTTTGTGCGTATCTCCTCAACCTTTCTGTGGCCACCTCCTATGAAGCCTGCCCACCTTAGCTACGGCGAGGTGAGGAGCCCGCTCTCTGCGGATGGTGAGGCTCACCAGGAGGACTCAGCACGCAGCACCTGCCCTGGCTCAGGGGCGGTAAGAAACCCACCCCCTCTTCTCTCGGAGTCCAAGCCGGGGGCGGGGGGGGATTTTCATATAGCAAAAAAAATTTTAAATGTCTATGTGTTAAACACCTCTCTCTGGGAGAGGGCATTCGTGAGAAAGCGAAGTCTGTGCCTCAGACGCAGCCACAGAAGCAGCATGCCCAGAGACAGCTCGCGAGGGGTCCTCCAAGGCCAGGGCGGGAGAGGAGAGCAAGCGCAGACTCACCTTGGCGTCCTCTGGCCCAGGAGCCGCTGAGGCCTGCCCCCGGCTGGACAGCGGTCCTGAGCCCACGCCGTCGTGCACGCACTTGAGGTTCCCCGAGGAGAGCAGCTGCTGGGCTCTGTGCTGCCAGCTCACGGTCCTCTCGATCAGATACCGCAGCGCGTCTCCCTCGGGAAGGCGGACGCGAATGCGCTGCAGGGAGGCCAGCAGGGGCAGGATCTTCTCCAGCGGGGGCTTCTCTGACCTCCGACAATGAGGACAAAGCCACACTTGCAGGTCTTGTGTCACGCTGGGCACCGCCACACAGCTCGTGTGGAACGCATCCCTGCAGAGTTCACACTGGAGCATGGGGGCAGCCGGGGCCTTCTGGCAGAGGCAGACTTTCAGGTCCGCGCCTGGAGCAGGCGACAGCACTTTCCCTTCGTTGGCTAGTCTGAGGGACTGCAAGGCTTCCATTTCTCTGAGGCGAGCTTCCCCAAGAGTTGCCATCTAAAGGGGGTGACAACCAAGACAGTGCAGTCAGAGAGCTGGCCTGGACCTGGTGGCCGAGGACACGCACTCTGGGCTGAACCGTGTCCGGTGAGAGAACACTGACATGCAGGAGGCCTGCATGAAGAGGGAACAGACTGGCATGTGTCCCAAAACATCACTTACTTCCTGACTGCGCCACCATGCTGGTGAGCAACCCGGCACAGAGGCTACAAGCCATCTGTGTAAAATGGTACCCAGCGCATGCGGAGGAGGTGAGATACACACCACACAACACTCTCTGGCCTCCATCAAGGAATCTGAGCAAATACCTAAACAGACTTATTTCTCACACTCTGCATGAAAGCATGTCCGAAGTTCTTCGTTTTAAAAAACCATTGGCACTTGTGCCCTTCTCTAGAAAGTTCTCTGATGAGGGTCTTCTATAGTAGCCACTGTACTGAGCCTTCCTGCCTCCTGTCTCGCTGCTGAGCACCGAGGCACTATGTGTGCGCTAGACCCAACTTTTCTTGCACACACTCACACGTGCATGCACACACACATTATCTTAAGGGACATGTTTACAGCAAGGTGGTTTTCTGCAGAAAGTGGCAAGTGTGCTCATAGGATAGAAAGACAGGTCCAGGAAAGCTCTGAGTTCAATTAACCTGTATGTGTGATTTGCAAACACAAATGAAATCAACTTCATTTAGGTAAAAAGCAGAAGTGATACTAAGCATGTATCCCCCCACCCTCCTATGGGCCCTGGAGCCATCTCCCATGCCCCAAACATACACTCCACCAGTATTTACAAACTGCTCATTTGGAGAGCTTTTATAAAACTCCTTAGCACCTTATACTGTATATACTAGTTGCCCATTTATCAACAGTGTGAGCTGAGTAGCAGGCCTGATCCCTGCCCCACAGCCCCCGGGACAGCTGTGCCCAGCCCTTTGAGCCACTCCTTGGTCCATGACTTGGAAAATGTTATTTCCTCTTTTCTTTGGAGCTAGTGTGCCGTCAAAGGTTCTACCCTGTTCCAAAGATTTCCTCCTCTGCTTATTTTGGTTTTGTCTGTTTTTTTGGGGGGTTATACCTGGTGATGCTCAGGGGTTATTCTTGGCTCTGCACTTGGAAATTACTCCTAGTGATGCTTGGACAACCATATAGGATGTCAGGGATCAAATCTGGGTCTGCTATGTATAAGGGAGTCCTACCCGCTGTACTAGGAACCACCTGAGGTGATGGGGGTAGACCCGAGTTGGTCACTGCCAGGTGTGGCTCCAAAGAGAAAAGGCCAGACCACTAAAGTCCTCTTCCAGTACTGAATGGGAAAGCAAGGATTTTTAAACTGGGACTTCCCAGCTAGGAAAAAAAGTGAAAGATTGTAGGTAGGACCAATTCTGTTCCCCAATCCTTAAAATGTTCATTTTTAACTGTTAAAGACATCCCCAGTTACCACCACCTTTGCATCCTCATTCTCCAGATGAGACTCAGCCCTGAGGCCTGAATGAATCTGCCATCAGTGTAATGAAGCAGCAGCATACGAACAGATGTGAGTGTCTGTGAGTGAGTGAGTGAGTGAGTGTGTGTGTGTGTGTGTGTGTGTGTGTGTGTGTGTGTTCGGGATGGGGGTATTCAGCTTTAAAAAACAACATCTTGGGCGAGAGAGTACAAAGGATAGGGTGTTTGCCTTGCATGCAGCCTACCCAGGCTTCTGTCCCTGGTACCCCATATGTTCCCCTAAGCACAGCTAGGAGTAATCCCTGAGTAAAGAGCAGGAGCAGAGGGGAGTACAGATCTGAGTCAGGGGGGCTGGAGAGAGAGGACACTGGGTAGGGTGCCTGTGATCCCCAGCACCCCATATGCTGCCAACCCCAACCACAGATGATCCCCAAGCTCAGAACCAGGAGTAACCTCTGAGTGTAGCCACTTTTTTTCTGTAGATTAAAAAAAGAAGTGTAGGCTGGGCTGGAGAGGACATGAAAATGTTCAGCAGGAGGGTTAGAGCACGTGCTTTGCAGCAGGAGACTGGAGTTCTGTCCCAGAAAAGCATGGTCCTGAGAGCAGCTCCTGAACATCACTGGGTTGTCCCCAAAACCAGAGTAAAATTTAAACATGCAGGCAGCATTGTGGATTATGTGACGATAAAGTGTCTCCTATAATTTAAAAGGAGGAAGCCAATGACCGATCATTCGAAATTCTACCAATAAGGGGGGCTGGAGAGATGGGACAGTGGGTAAATTTTGCCAGGCTGACCGAAGTTTGATCCCCGGCACCCCATATGGTGCCAACCCCCACCACGGATGATCCTGGAGTGCAGAGCCAGGAGTAACCTCTGAGCAGCACCAGCTGTCACCCTAAACCAAAATGAACGATTAGTTCTAATCAATAGGTAAAGCATTAAGTTTTTAAGTTAGCCTGTGAACAAAGACGAGATGGGCTCAGACTAACTGAAAGATAAGGCTTGCAAAACCAGATAATACAAATACAAACCACACACTGTCATATTTAATAACCAAGATGGTGGTCCATTATGTACCATTAAGTACCATTAGAATCTGACTGGATGTACACATAAATATGCCCAAAGAAAGGCATGTTCCAGGGGCTGAGGATATGGCTCAGGGGCAGAGCACATGCCTTGGTGTTTGAGGCCCTGGGTTCAATCTCTGGCACACACCACAAAAACAAGACAAAACATGAAAGCATGTTTCAAAATACATATATAAATCAAGAGTGTCAGAGGTAAGGTCAGAGAGTGACAGTCAGGAAAAATGGTGCTGTGCCCCAAGGATGAGCCACAGGTAAATTCCAACTCTAGAATGAGGGATGCTTTTGTGCCATTAACATCTAAATTGTATTACAAAAAGTACAAGCCTCAGGGGCTGGAGAGAGAGTGTGTACAGTGGATAGGCTCTGGTTGAACAGGCCACTGACATAGGTTCAATTCCCCGCACCCCATATGGTTCCACAAGCCCTGCCAGGAATGATCTCAAGCACGGAGCAAATGAGCACCACAGGGTGCGGCCCCCAAACTAAAACAACAAAAAGAACAAACTCTATCATGGAAAAAGTCCTATGCTGTTTTATCTTCAACTTGTGGAGGAGCCACACTGAAAGGTGTTCAGGGCTTACTCCTGGCCCTGCACTCAGGGACCATTCCTGCTGATGCTGAGGGGATGGTATGGGGTATAGGAAAGTGACTTACCTGCTGTACTCTCTCGCCCCCTTTAACAATAACACTAAAAAACTGTACCTGTATATATATGAAAGCAGTGTGATGAGTAAATCCTAACATACCTCAGCATAAGAAAAAGGCTTGAAGTGACAGCATGTGACAGAGCTCCACTTCTTGTGGTTATCATTTTACAATACACATAACTTAACTCACTATGTGCCGTACTAGTAATGGGCATTAGTACATGTGAAAATAGTATGTGGAAGTTATGGTCCAATAAAACTCTTTTTAAAAAAGCATCCAAGTTTCAGAGCTACTGTCATCTGTCCCAATACTGAGTTCACTAAACATCAGTGGGTCGCTGCTTCATCTTGAAGATGACAACATCTGTGAATCAGCAGTGCTTACTCAAAATGCATGTCAGACAAAAACACTCCGGCATGCTTTTAAGCACAATAGTCACTGTAAATGGGGGTATGGTGCTGCCAGCAGGTCAATCTGTACCTGCGAGGTGAGTGCATCAACAGCCTGATGGCACCTTCAGATTTCCAGATACCCCAAAATTGGTGCTGTGCCTTTGGCCAGACCCCAAAAACTTGGGGCAAAGTTTACCAAGAAAGTAAACGGCCAAAAGTTAGGTATGTGGGAGACACATCTACAAACCACCTCCAGCTCAGATATATAATTGGAGGCATGGCCTCTCTGGTTCCTGATTAAACTGCTTAATGGCCGTGATCCCAGAGACTCAGAAACAAATCTTGAAACCCAGAGGCTTTTGGCAGAAATACATCTGGTCCCTGCAGTAGGTTACCGGTGCTGGGCCAACCCAGTTGGGAATAGATTTTGTACCTTGGCCTGTTCCCACCCCCCCGGTGGCCCAGTGGCCGCCATCCTTCAGAGGTCACTGGATAGTCAGGTTTGGGCCCCCAGTGACGAGACACGAAGGGCCTCATGAGATGGAGGTGGAGCCGGTACTGCCCTCCCCACCCAAACGAGACCCCAAGTCATTGCCCACGAACGACCTCTCTGGCTCCTGGTCAAGCTGCTTAACGGCCATGATCCCAGAGACTCAGAAACAAATCTTGAAACCCAGTGGCTTTTGGCAGAAATGTGTTCGGACCCCACAGTGCGTTACTATCGCTGGGCTACCCCAGGGAGGAAAGGGTGTTGTCACACCACCTGCTCCCCCTTGGCGGCGGCTCGGTGGCCGTCATCCTCCAGAGGCCACTGGACAGTCAGGCTTGGGCCTGCAGTGACGAAACTTGTTGGGCCTCACAGGATGGGGGGGGGGGGGGGCACGCGGGTCTGTCCTCCCCAGCCCAACGAGAACCCAAGTCATCGCCCACGAATGGCCTTTCTGGCTCCTGATCAAACTGCTTAATGGCCTTGATCCCAGAGACTCAGAAACAAATCTTGAAACCCAGTGGCTTTTGGCAGAAATGCATCCGGACCCCGCAGTAGGTAACTGTCGCTGGGCCACCCCAGGGAGGAAAGGGTGTTGTCCCTCTGCCTGCTTGCGTCCCCGACGGCTCGGTGGCCGTCATCCTCCAGAGGCCATCGGACAGTCAGGCTTGGGCCCGCAGTGACAAAATTTGTTGGGCCTCACAGGATGGGGATGGAGCCGGTCTTGGTCTCTCCACCCCAACGAGACCCCAAGTCATCGCCCACAAATGGCCACTCTGACTCCTGATCAAGCTGCTCAACGGCCATGACCCCAGAGACTCAGGAGCAGATCTCGAAACCCAGTGGCTTTTGGCAGAAATCCCTCCAGATTTATGTGTTAAAATTTCGGAATTTCAAAATCACATGGCCCTACTGCAGCCACGCATCATCATATGTTATTCATACTCAGCAATAGAACACAAATTGTCTACTGTTGCCTTTTCAGCAGATCTGAGGGTTGGGGTAAAATCTCAAATAATAATGGTGGGTCTGGTGTCGAAATATTGAATGTGATCAAAGTAGAGAGAGAGTAATGTGGAAATCATCTGCCCCACAGGTAGGGGGAGGGTGTGGGGTGGGATTATACTGGGGTTTTTGGTGGTGGAGAATGGGCACTGGTGAAGGGATGGGTGTTTCATTGTATGACCAAGACTTAGACCCGAAAGCTTTGTAACTGCCCTCACCGTGATTCAATAAATAAAATTATAAAAAATGAAAAAAAAAAGTAAGGTGGAGTTCATGCACAATTCAATCAGCTAATCAGTGGCTGAATAAATAGTAGTACTCCTACAAAAAAAAAAAGTCACTGTAATACTGCCCAGTGCTAGCCTGGAAATTCTCACTGTGCACCCCAGAAGAGCCCATGACCTTGGTGAGACTATCTGAGTCTCCAGCTACACTGGAAGGCATTGGTTCCCTGAATCTCTCCTTAACACATCTGACAAAATTTAAAGCTGGCAACTTTTATCAAGCCTTTCTGGAAAAACTTCTCTTCCACTTGCCTTCCACACCCCTGTGGGCAGAGAAGGGTAAGAACGTCTCTCTCACCCGCCCCCCACCCCACACAGGAAGGTGGAGCAGGACCCATACATACAGCAGAGGCTGTCTCTGGACTTTCCGTCAACGCTCGCTCCAAGTCACTCAGACTCTCTAATCTGGTGCTTTTCTTCTTCCCACTCGGCACAGCCTCCTTTGCCTTTCTCTGCTTTCTTTTCAATCCCGAAAGGCCAATATCACATCGAGGGCACAGAACCTAGGGACAGAATACAATCACCAGTAGAAGGACTTTCAGACTAAGCCTGAGGGAGGCCCCCAAATAGACCTAAACAGTGAGGTTGGTAAATGCCTTAATACTTAAATTTTCTCTGGGATGAACAAGCAGAAAGTTCTCCTCTACAAAGGAAGACAGGAAACAGCACGAAGGAGGAAATAAAGAAAACTCAAAAAATTGTCTTGGATTCTAGACTTAGTAGAAATGTGATCTGTATGAATTCAGTCGCAGTGTATCATTTAATAAAGACACAGAACATGCAACTTTGGCACTTCTATGAACGGCAAATGAGACCATGTATCAGGCACACAGAGAGGTATGCAATCTGGGGGACCTAGGGCCTGGCTCAGGGGCAGAGCACCTGCCCATTGGCTGGAAGGCTGCAACCATCCCTAGTACTGAGAGTCAATCCTGCATACAACCACCTGCCACCTGCTGTTACCTGGCCAAGAAAATGTATGGGATCCCCAGGGCACAGTGGCCAAGATGTGGTCCCGGTCACAGCCACAACCAAAAAACAGGCAAAAGAATGGGGGTGGGGAGATTGCAAGCGATAAAGCATGGCCATGGTTAACAGTCCAATTCAACGGGAGCTGCTTTTCCTTAGATACAGAACACTATTCCTAAATGTACCCAGGAAAAACGTCCTCTCACTAGAAGCATGGAAGAATCACTAGCTCTACTAAAACACAACTCAAAAACATTAATGCCACCTGCATCGGGGACTGCATGTTTTTCACCTAAAACTTTATACATGGATGGTTGCAAACTTACCTCTAAGAGAGAATATGAAGAATTCTCAGTCAAGAATGTGTTAGCAGCACATTCTTTCCACGCCTGAACCTCAGCTACTAGCAACTCCAGCCTTGGCAGAGAATCCAGATGTACCGGGATAGCTCGACCTCGGGTGACAAGTTCAAGAAGTGTGTCCAATACTGGTACACGTCCTCCGACCTAGTAAATCAAAAAATGTTGCACCAGAAGAACAAATACTAGTATGAGAGGTGAGGTAAACATACTTCAGGCTGAGTTTGTTCTATGATTTCAACATGTGTTCTATAATTTTATCATAGGATATTCTAAACAAGAGCGGGAGAGGTGTAGGAGACTTTGTGTTCACATGACAAAAACCTGGAAGAATCTGGCGTCTGTGCTAGGCCCTCACACAAAGGGACAGTCACAGTCCCAGTGTAGTGACTATCTTTATTCCCTTCTAAATTCACTTATTGTCTTGATTCCAACAGACTGAAAAAGAAAAATTAGCATCCATCCCGACTTTCATTAATCAACAAAATGCACTGTACTCCAATCCATTTGATGATGAATTAAAGCAGCTCAGTATAAACGATTACAGGAACTAAAATAAAGTGAAAATGCCTGCTGGCTCACTAACTTTAGCACTCGTCAGAATCACATGGACAGCTCATCTGCACTGTGTTCTGGGCACCAACCTCAGATTTAGTTAAGAGTGGCGTCATGAACTTGCATTTCTAACAAGCTTTCAGTTGTTGCAGGCTACAGAATAAGGTCCCCAAAAAGTGTATTAAGATAAAAACATAAGTATATCTGGGCTGGGGTCTGGGTAGGCATCGGTACCCAAGTACCACTGTAACTTCCTGAGGACAGAGCCATGAATAATCCCTGAGGATTGCTGGGTGTGGTCTCAAACCCAAGACAAAACATTTAACATGAATATTCAAAAAAAAGTTACATAAAAATTTTATTTTAAGTCTGATGACTTCAACAACAACAAAAATTCAAGAATTCATGCCGATAAAAAATGAAATTTTTATGCTTCATCTGTACACTAAATAACAACTGTTAATAGCTACATAAAATCTAATTTTATGACTTAGAGATGAAGGATGACACCTCGTACCACTATCAATATCAGCTGATTCACCAAGATAAAACAGCAAAGCATCTTGATTTCTTTGTTCCCTATCAGCCATTCTTCTATAGATGGTGATGTCCAAAGTCAATGCCAATGGCCATATCAGCCATTCTTCTATAGAGGATGTCCAAAGTCAGTAAAACCTTATGCTTTGTTTTTTCTCCCAGCAAACAGCAAGACCAAACTTATTTTTTCCTTACTCATCAAATAACAAACTAATCACTACAAGCAAGAGGCTACTGCAATGGACAAATGGGCCCACTAGAAGTGGGTAGGAAGTGGGTGGCTAAGGGTGGTGAATACACGGGACAGGTAGACTGCTCCATAGCTGAAGCCTGCCTCATGGGCAAAGGGGAGAAGGAGATGGAACAGAGAAGGGATCACTAGGGAAGTGATGGCTGGAGGAGCTGGCTGGGAAGGGAGATGTGTGCAGAAAGTAGATAAAGGACCAAACATGATAACCTCTCGTGTCTGTACTGCAAACCATAATGCCCCAAAGTAGAGAGAGAGTATGGGAATACTGTCTGCCATGGAGGCAGGGGGAGGATATGCCGGAGATATCGGTGGTGGGGAATGTGCACTATTGGAGATATAGGTGTTTGATCATTGTGTAACTGTAAACAGCCTGTAACTAACTCATGAAAGCTTGTAACTACCTCACGGCAATTCAATAAAATTAAAAAAAAAATGTGGGTGACTCATTACGTGGCATGTCACCTGACTCTCACTCTCTGGCCACGTGCTGCAGGTGAGCTGGGTGAGACAGTGAGGTGATACTCAGGGATTACTCCAAGCTCTGCACTCATATAACTCCTGATGAGGTCTGGGGGACCATATGGGATACTGCGAGTCAAATGCACGTCAGCTGCATGCAAGGCAAATGCCCTCCTCACTGCACTATGACTCTGGCCCCAGGGTTCAATTTTCTAATCCATCCTGCCCCTCTGTCTTTTAAATGAGAAGTTTGTACAGCTTCATGGTACCATTTGCCAGGCATCAGGCCACACTACAAAGACTATCCACAGCCAGGGCCTACAATGAAACCAAAGCTTTAAGCACTCCCTTTCCTAATGCCCAGCAATGCAAATTCCAAAGTAGCAAGAAATTTCTTGTACCTGACATGCTCTCAGTACTATCACTACTTTTCTCCTGAATATTGTTCTTGTACTAAAAGAGTTGAGGGGTTGTAGTGATAGTACAGCGGGTAGGGCATTTGCCTTGCATGCGGCCTGACCCGGGTTCGATTCCCAGCACCCTATATGGTCCCCTGAGCACCGCTAGGAGTAATTCCTGAGTGCATGAACCAGGAGCAATGCCTGTGCATCGCTGGATGTGACCCAAAAAGCAAAAAAAGAGTTGAAAGGTTTTGCTGTTTTGACTTTTTGGACTCCATTTTGTAAGGTTTCAAATTTTACTAGGGAAATAAACTTGTCTTCTGAAATACCACAACACAGTACCGGAAACCACTATGGACACATGTGAGAGGACATGTGTACTGGACAGGCAAGCTAACACAATACTGGCATTCCATCTCATTCTGCAATAATAAAGTGCGGGGGGAGGATGGGGAGAACACTGCCAGGAAGCTTCCGAGGACCAGATCCTGGTCATGGACCTCAAGATGAAGACCTCATTTTCAGCTCTCTTTATATATGGGCGCTCCCAAGTTCCCAAAATGTTGACTGAGTATCTAAGAATTTCTTTGAATAAGTATCTCTTTGAATTTCAGTCGACTGGTTTAGACAATATGTGAGAAGTCCATCTTTAACAGCCAACCCCCAATACTGAACTGCAGCCCAACTGCTTCCCCCCTGCGGTTTCCTCTGCGAATGTACTCCAACCCCCAGGCTTTCCCAGGAACCAACCTGCAGGGCCTCGACATCCTGCAGCCAGTCTTTGGCTTTCTGCACGGAGTCTCGGAGAGCCACGCCACTAGGGAGATATGCAGGGATTTCCTCAATCTCCTTCACTGCAGTGGCAAGGCTGTTCAAAGAGTGCCGTGGTCTGTAAAAATGATTTTATATCATGATTCACCATTCTTAAGGTTTACCAAATGAAAAAAGTCCTTTCTGGGGCAAGGGATATGGCTCAACTGCTATGTGTGAAGTCCTGGGTTCAATCCCTGGCACCCATTGATGGCTCAACTGCTATGTGTGTAGTCGTGGGTTCAATCCTTGGCACCCCCTCAAGCACAACCAGTGTGGCCCCACACACAAAATAAGATCATTTTCAAAGACAGTTCATTATGTCAAATGAATTCATTATTTCAATCATTAAGGTCAGAATGGCTGCATCAGACATAGGAACAGCAGGCTAGGGAGAAAGCTTATGGACAAGAGTAAATCATTCGCATGCAGGAGCCCTGGGTTCAATTCCCAGCATCACATGGTCCCCTATAAACCAGAAATCAAAAGATTAAAAAAAAAAAGGTAAGCACATCTAAGATAAATTATATTAAATTCTACTCATTACTGATTTTAGGATAATAATAACACAAATTTCCACTTGTGAAGGTTGTTCAATAATGTGTTATGTGAAACTATATACTGCTGAAACTCATAAACTTTAAGAAAATAAAAATTCTCTAAAACAGAGACATAGCTAGGGCCTGGTGATGCCCTACATGTAGGAGGCCCAGTTCAATGCCCAGTGCCAGTGCCAGCTACAGAAGTGACCCCTCAACAGAGAGCCGGGAGTGGGACTGAGCACTGCCGGGTGTGATTCCCCAACCCACAGGCAAGCAAGATAAGCTGTCAATGTGCCAAAGCATTCTACTCAGCAGCCTCTACCTTTGGATTATTAAAGTCTATAAATGTTTTGGGTAGTTTATGGTGCTGACTGGATCAACACAGATCTGTCAGAGTGAAAGCAGTATCAGCCGACTGCTCTAAATCCAATCAAATCTCTAATACTGGCAGAGCCTCCTGAATTACTTAATCAAGTGCATGAATTTCTAATCCTAACCCTGTTCGAAGTTACTGGCACTCTCTTCATTTTACACAGCAGTGCCATCAGTCTTTCAAGTGACTTGACAGCTTATTAACTACAATGTTACTGGGATGTTGGGGAGGGCAGCAGATCCCAGCAGTGCTCAGAAGGTCTGGGGGCTCCACAAACCAGCCCATGGTTCAGTGCAAGGGTCCAACAAATACTGTCGTGTCCTTTGGTTCCTGAAGTGCCGGGGGCTACCCGGGCTACCCCAGCAGTGCTCAGGGGCCTCCAGAACTGCAGCCAGTCTTACTCTGGTGATCATGTAGTCCTGGGTATCAAATGGCCCCTGACCACAGGCCTATCACGGCCTTAAACCCTATACTGTCTGTCCCTTAACTGTGGCTTTCAATATTACTTGTAATATTTTTCTTCCTTCTCTCAAAGATGGTACTATCAAGGTAGTCACAGAAAACTTCCTTAAAACAACTTTAGAAAGGGTACGCCCATCATGGGCTGAAGCGATAGCACAGCGGGTAAGGGGTATGCCTTGCAAGCAGTCAACATGGCCGACCCGAGTTCGATTCCTCTGGCCCTCTCGGAGAGCCTGGCAAGCTACCGAGAATATCTTGCCTGCATGGCAGAGCCTGACAAGCTACCCGTGATGTATTTGATATGCTAAACACAGTAACAACAAAGTCTCACAATGGAGACATTACTGGGCACGCTCGAGCAAATCGATGAACAATGGGAGGACAGTGACAGTGACGCCCATCACATCATTCCATAACCAGTATGATATTAGTTAGGAGTCTTCAGCTGAAATGCCAAACTAACCCCCACTACCTCACAGATTTCTCCTGCCCCGCGCCTACCATGCTCTGGACAGACCCGTCAATGACCCACCTTCCCCAAGCCACAGAGGGGAGTGTGCCCTTTACCTGGCCTTGAGAAGACTCTTGGCTTTGTCATCCCAGTGCTCTGACACCGTGAGCAGCTCCTGCAGACGGGCCATGGCCTTCTCCACTGCCGAGTAAGGGGCCAGACCCACCCCTAGGTCTATGAGGCGTCTCATATCATCTAGGGTCAGGGAGGCAGGGTCCAGGCAGGCCTGCCGCACCTCTTCGAGCCAGCGCGCCTGCTCGAGCCGGGTGCGCATCTCGGCCAGCTGGGGCAGCTCAACGTCAAAGTCAAAGCTGACATCAAGCAGGTCCTGCAGCTCAGCGGCACTGGGCATCTCCTCGGAGAGCAACTGCTGGCTGTGCTGCTGGAAATCTTCCACGCGGTTCAAGAGATCCTAGAAAAACATGTAAATATCAAAGGGCCACGATTATTTCATCAAAATAGCACTTTCAGTAACTGCCTTATTTCATGCTTAGAACCTTCAAGACCTTAATTCAGCAAGATTGTCCTCCAGTACCATAGTAAGTGACTGTCCCAAAAACCTTGACCAGGTGTAGTAGGGAGGGCACTTGTCTTACAGGTGGCCAAACCAGGTTCAATCCCTGACAATCCTGACCTGTGCCAGGAGTGATCCCTGAACACAGGGACAGGAGTGAGCCCTGAGCATCACCAGGTATAGTGCAAAAAGAAAAAGAAAAGGGGAAAAAACAAAAAAAAGACAACCCTGATCACAAGCCCCTAGTGGAAACTTTCAATGCAAACTGTACAACTTTATCTCTTGCCAGCCTGTGACCAGACTCGGTGTTCTGATTAGACTTTCAGGTTATGGACTTGTGCATAAAATTTACTCATGACATGTGCATCACAGAGAACTGTCCCCCCGTCCCCGAGCTACCTTCAGCAAGGGCGTCTGGCTGAGGACGCAGGGAAGCGCATAGAGCTGTGTCACGAACTGCCGGAGCTCATTCACTGTCAACTGGTTTTGGGATTTCCCTCCACCAGATCGGTACCTACGAAGACAAGGCCAGAGAGAGCCAGGTGAGAAGACAGTCGCCATTCCCAGGAAGGCAGGCCAGAGGGAAAACCCGTCACCAGGTTTCAAAGTTTGGCTGAGAAACTCAGAAGCACAAACCTAGTTTGCCGTTTGCCATTAAGCAACTGCTGTGCAACGGAGGCGCATTTCTCTGCGTCTTGTGTGACCAAGCGAAGGTGACGTAAAAGGTCATTGTCTGGGAATTTCTTCATTTCAGATTCTTCAATTAAAGCTTTAAAACTGACAAGGCCTAGGGATAAAGAACAGATCATGTTTGGTATGTGCTACATGACTACTACCAGTCTGAAAAACAGAAAGGGTCTTACTTTTCTAAATTCTTATCCGTAGATAACATTTTAAAAGACTTGTAAAAGTTAGGGTCAAGGTGATGGGTCAGTGTTGGGCACCGAAGCCCAGGCGCAATTCCCAGGATCTAGCACTGCAAGGTGTAGACCAAAGTTTAAGAAATAAAGCAGACACCAATCCAACATTTTTCGGTGGAGAGGAATATTTAAACAAGTGCCTAGAACTGGTCTTCTTATGTGGGAATTATTAAAATACACAAATGGAAAACTCATTTGTCTAAACAAAGTGAAAATAGATTTGTATTGTGGTTTGAACCAATTCCTCTTGCAGTTTATTCTACAGCTGAGAAGAGAACACAATTACCTAGAAAGTTACAGAGAGAAAGTAAGACACTTCAAAAGAGAAAGAAAGCAAGCCATGGCTTTCCTTGGCTTTCAGAGAAGAGGTGGTTTTAATTAATGGAAATGACTCAGCATTTCAGACACTTCTAGCTTAATGCCATTTGTCCTGAAACACAGTTACTGTTGTCACTCTTATACGTTTTCCAACAATGAGATATTTTCTCACACCAGAGACTGGCACACATCAAAAAGAACAACAACTAGTGTTGGCATGGATAAAGAATGTTGGTGGGAATGCTTACTGGTCCGGTCGTTTTGGAAAGCAATACGGGCATTCCTCAAAATAAATAAATAAATAAATAAATAAAACCAGAAATTGAGCTCCCAATATAAACAACTGCTGGGAATACACCCTGGGGCCCAAAAATACACAGCTGATATGCCATCTGCACTTCTATGCACATTGCAGCACTATTCACAATAGCCAGAATCTAGAAACAACCTGAGTGTCCAAGAACAGACAACTGATAATGAAACTACTACGGTACATCTTCACAGACTCATTCAGCTGGGAATATTAGCTGTGAAATACTACACAGCTGTTAGAAAAAATTAAGTCATAAAATGTGCTTATAAATGGGTGAATGTTGAGTGCAGATTCAGAAGGAGAGAGGAAGATAAAAAAAATGACTGCACTCATTTGTGAGATTTGGAAAAATAGTATGAAACTAATATCCAAGGCCAGGAAAATCAGGGGCCAGGAAGACTAGTCAATGGTGAGTGGGGGGGGGGGGGGGGGGGAGGAACAGTTAGGATAGAGAAGGGACCAGTGTGAAATAATAGTTAGAAATGGATCGCTCTGGACAAGAATTGAGTATTCAAAGTAGGTAAAGGGATCTATCTTTCAGTATCTATACTGCAGACCATAATGCCCAAAAGGGGGTAGAGGGGGAAGGGAGAGAGGTAGAGAAAGAGAAGGGGGGGCGGAGAGGGAGAGAGAGAGGGAGAGAGAGAGAGAGAGAGAGAGAGAGAGAGAGAGAGAGAGGAGAAAAGAAAAGAGATGAGAAACGCCTGCCACGGAGATGGGGACTGGTGATGGAATGGGTGCTATGACCAAACAACTGTAACTGTATATCTAACTGGATTCAATTATAAATTTTTTTTATAATTTTAAAATTTCAATGGGGGAGGAGAAAAAGGTTTTCCTTAGAAGTCAGAGTTGGGACATAGTTGCTGCCCTGCATACAGCTGACTCCACATGTAGAACCTGGAGCACAAAGTCAGAGTCAAAACAGCCGAGGGCCAGAGGGCAAGTCACAAACCTCACACTCCACCAAAAAAAAAATTCTTTTTTGGACATTAACTAGCGGTGCCTTACTCCTGACTCTGTGTTCAGGGATCCCTCTTGGTGGGCCTCAGGGAACCATATGGGTATCAAACCCAGGTCAGCAGCAAGCAAGGCAAGCTTTCCACCCACTGTACTATCACGCCGGCCCTCAAAAAAAAATTTTAATAGAAATTTTTTCTAAGGACTGTAGAGACAATGCAGTGGTAGGCATCACATTATTGTCCCCTGAGCCTGCCTGAGTAACCCTTGAGCGCAGACCCAGGATTAAGTCCACACAACTCTGAACAATACACACAACAAGACTTTACTCTGGTGTAAAGGGATCTGCTGCCTCTACTCGTGGTTTCAAGACCTCTCATCAGTGCTCAGCAAATCCGGCTGAACAGGAAAGTCAACAGGTGACAACGTGGTGGTGGCAACTATACACAAAAATTCCCCTCTAACACTGTACAACTAAAGGAGGCTAGGACCACTCTGAGATCGGTGAATGCCAGAGGCAGAGCTGTATGGCTGGACCACAGTCACTGACCCAGACTCAGAAGACAGATGGAAGAGCTCAAGGAGGGAATGAACGCTCCTCATGAGGGTTGGGGGCTGGGGAACAAGTGGGCCACACTGTGGCGAACAACAGGCACCCTGGCTTAGCAGGTGTGAGAAGAAAAAAAGAAGAAAACATTGGACAAAGCCAAGTTGTCTCAATTCATCCTTTCACTGGGTTTTGTTAACTAGATTGCAGACCACTCCCAATTTGCCAGACCACTCCTAATTTGCCAGGTCACCAAGCGCCACACCCTCTTACACCACCTACTTTTCTTTTTGTTGATTTTCGCTTCCAAAGCGTCATTCACATTCAAGGCCCATTCGTTGTAGGACTCGGCCCTCAGTTTCAGCGCATTCATCATGGGGTAGAGGTCGTCCAGAGTGTAGCGGTACCTGAGAACAGAGCACAGACAGCTCAGGCTCGGCATTTCAGGGACAGGCAGCCATGGTCCTGTGCTCCCATTAGAATGCAGTGCTCCCTCTGCAGAGCACTGTCCTACTCACCGCAGCTTATACTGATACGGAGCACAGGAGCACAGTTCCTTCACGTGATGCAGACACACCAGCACTCCAGGCTTGCAGGAACAGGCAATTGCGGACATGAAGCATGTAGTCTTGCATTTGATACACTGACGCTCATCATCTGGTAGCAACTCAAAATCCATTCTCTCCGAATCAATTACTCCCTGAAACAAAGTGTGCAGTGAAGGCCTCCAAAGGCAGCAGGACCCCATCACCCTTTCCTTCCCACAAAACAATCAACAGTTGAGTTTAAAAAAAGGAAAGTGGGTGCCAGAGCGATAGCACAACAGGTAGGGCATTTGCCTTGCACACAGCCAACCTGGGTTCGATACTCAGCATCCCATATGGTCCCCCAAGCACCACCAGGAATAATTTCTGAGTGCAAAGCCAGGAGTAACCCCTGGGTGTGACCCAAAAAGGGAGAAAAAAATAAAAGTGAAAAGAGCCATGACAATGGGGCGGAATGATGTAAAATGTGTGGGGCACAAAATGCCCCAGCAAACAACAGCATGTGAACTACTCCATCATCTACAGAGAACTCATTTGGGGACCTTGGTTGGTTTTGACACTCAGTTATCATGCCTCACTAGCGCCAAAATTCCCCAAGACTCCCTCCACCAATGTCCTCGGTATTTCTGCTCTACTTCATAATCCCTCCCATTGCACCCCCCCCCCTTTACTTAGTACTCCCAGTTCTGTAATCCAGAGCTTGGTATCATTTGGTACTGTGTCTTTTGTTTGACAAGATTCAACTATGGGGAAAGGGATGGCAAAGGGTTTAAGTTTTGCACGCAGGCTTGCTCCCCAGAACTACACGGCTCACCAAGCAATCTGGAGCACCCCAAGGACAGAACAGGGAGCAGACCCTGACAACCACTGTTTAAAAGGTTTTTTAATATAAAATGGCTACAGTGATAACTACAGTGGGTAGGGTGCTTGATGGAACCCCGTATGCTTCCCCAAGCTGTGCCTGGAGAAATCCCTGAGCACAGAGCTAGGATTCAGCCCTGAGCTCTGCCAGGTGTGGCCCCTAATCCAAAACCAAAACAAGACCCAAGAAACGGTTACAGAAGCCAGGGAGACAGTGCAGTGGGCTGAGATCATTCTTTGCCCTAGGAGGTTCCAGTTCTATCTCTGGTTCCTTATGATGGTCCCTTAAGCACTGCTGGGAGCAATCCCCTGACATTGCAAGTGTGAAAAACAAACAAAGTCATAATAAAAGGACAATAAAACTACTGAACTTAGCAGGCTGTGCGTACTGCTGGCTAGAGACTGAGAGCCAGTGTGGAGGGGCCCAAGGAATTTCTGCAGGAGAAGATGTGTCTGCGGCTGTTTCAGGGTCCTAGCAGGATGAGCCTTTTAAATATAACCATCCTCAAGAATTCTTCAGTCATCGCTGACTTCCCGCCCGCCGGTTCCCCCCCTCCGGCCCCCCACCCAACATGCCACCCTCTGCTTTCAGCTCTGGCCCACACATGGCTCTTGTTATTCTCCAAAGACAGGGAGCAGTTTTTGTGTGTTTTTTAGCCTATTAAAGTGTCACCTGACAAAACAAACAAACAAACAAACAAACAAAAACTACTGAGCTTAGCTGCTTATCATACTCTAAAATGTTCTGACCCGTATTTTGGGCACAAATAAAAGCAAGGTAATTGTGTGTCTTATTTCCTTCAGAGTAAATACTACATAGGACATCTGGGTAACATTACTAAAATCTACAAAAAGAATAAAATATACAAAAGTTCTAAAAAAGATGAAGCCAACGAGATCACTAATCAAAGGCAGCTGGGCTCCTTTCCCCTAAGCACTGAGAAGGAAGCGCCCTTGGGCAACTCTCAGTGTAGCCCACACCCTCCTCCAGTCACCCACCTCCAAAAAACTGAAAATGAGGACAGGGGAAAACTTTAAATGAAATTATGAAAAAATTCTATGGGATTTAGTTGAATATTAACAAGTAAATTCACCAAACTTATTTTGCAAATTTCTACATCTGAGAAAAAATTGCGAGTCCTCAAAATTCCCCAAATGAGTTGCCATTATTAATGAGGCCCTTTTCAGCCCTAGGCGTTGTTTTTCCCACTGGTGAAATGCCAGGGGACAGGCAGGTAAGTGGTGCTGAGACAGCGAGCTCTAGGGCACATCTCAGACTCTTACTTAGAGGCATCTTCTAAAAACTCAATTTAAAGAGCCCGGCAGATAGTAAAGGGACTAAGGTGTGCAACCAAACCCCAGTTCCATCCTGCCACCAACATGGTACCCCACCCCAAGCATCACCGGGTGCTGTCCAAGAGGCCCCTCATCACCACTGCACCCCCTTCTCCTACAATGTCAAAGTGGCCAGGATAACCCCAAGCATAGGAGGGCCTTCCCACAAACCAAAGCCCAGTTGACAGGGTATCACTGAGAGTGACGGGGACGGGGAGACGGGGAGACACGGACGGACGGACGGACGGACACACACACACACACACACACACACACACACCCTCTAATTTGCAGGTGACCTCCCAAATGGTATTGAAATACTGAATGTACTCCATTATTGTGAACAATTTTATGAAAATGAAACTTAGAAAAGGAAAACCATGGGAAAAAATGTTAGTAAAATTAGCAAGTGCATTTCACCAGCTACAAGAGCAACATACCAAAAGTCTGCAGTAGTGGTTTTGGGGTGGCAGAAAGAGTTCCTGACAGTGCTGCACCTAGGCGGCTCAACAGGCCACCAGCCTCAAGTACCAAATTGTAAACCCACACTTCTGGGCCATGTTTGCAGGGAGGGGCCCCTGACCAAGCCTATTTTAAAAAACTTACTTGGGTCCAAAGGTAGATTTTGTTTTTTAAAAAAAAGTCTAGTAAAGTTCAAGATGAACTTAAAACTGAAGAATTCTATTTGACTTGTAAGAGAAATTGCGCGCAGCCTGCCCTGCCGAGCTGGGTTCGATTCCTCTGCCCCTCTCGGAGAGCCTAGCAAACTACGGAGAGTATCTCGCCCGCACGGCAAAGCCTGGCAAGCTACCCGTGACGTTTTTGATATGCCAAACACAGTAACAACAAGTCTCAAAATGGAAATGTTACTGGGCCCGCTCGAGCAAAATCACTGAACAACCAACGGGAGGCCAGTAAGAGAAAATCATTGAAATTTTGAATTGAGTAGGGCATACACAAAAGATCCAGAAGAGAAAAAAATGGTAAAATGTAGCAGTTGAAAATGAAATCAAAATAAAAAACTTATTTAAAAGAAAAAGCTAAAATAGCTATAGACTACAAAAAAATATTTACGTAAAACTTGGTAAGCCTTTTATTAATTTAATAAAACTGAATTAAAAAGGGAGGCCAAGGGGTCAATTTCACTGAACACTTCATCGGAGACAAATACAATGGCAGCAAATAAGTGCATAGGATATTTAATATCGTTAACCAGTAAGGAATGAAAATTAACATCACCATGAGACACACACACACACCCATACACACACCTTAAATGAAAGCTAAAAAAGACATCTTAGTATAACACTCAAGTGCGTACCACTGTTCATGGTGATACTCAATGACATACAACGGAGATTTCAGAAACCTTACCAATTTACGGACAGTTTCTCTTAAAGCCTTTTCGTCCTCAATCATAATCGCCATGTCTTTCTGGACAGTCGAAGCAACTACAACATCCAGAACATCAGCTTTGGAAGCCATCTTGCAAATCATCTCATCGTGGGAAAATACACAATAGCGGTGAAGTAAGCGATAATGCTCCACGCACTGACGGCCTAGTGGCAGCTGTGTGACAGAGAGGAAAGTACAGGACATCGACCTTTCAACTTCACACACAAAAACTTTTATTATTATTATTTTTGCTTTTTGGGTCACACCTGGCGATGCACAGGAGTTACTCCTGGATCATGCACTCAGGAATTACTCCTGGCGGTGGTCAGGGGGCCATATGGGATGCTGGGAATCGAACCCGGGTCAGCCGCGTGCAAGGCAAACGCGCTACCCACTGTACCCGCTCCAGCCCAAAGACTTTTATTATTAAATTAGAAAATATCATGTCCTGGGCCATAATATATGAATTCTAAAACTAAAACTTGAAAGATGACTAAAGCTAGTCCTTGGGCTTTTTTTAGCTTTTGTATCTCAAAGATCTGGCATATTAAGACACCTTAGTAACACAGGCCAGGGAGAGAGCATAGAGAGGAGCATTTCCCAAGCACACAGCCAGCCTGGGTTCATTTCCCAGCACCACTCAGGATGGGTCCCTGAGACAAGGCAGGCCTAAGCCCTGAGTAGTGACAGGTGTGGCCCCTGCAGCCCCTTCCCCACCAAAAAGTGGTTTAAAAATATCATGTAATTCCTTAACAATGTAGACTCTGATTTTAAATACAAAGGCATGCATTTTCCGGAACAACAGCGCTGCACTAAAGCGATGAGCCCAAAATTTCCCAACAGAAAATAATTCTAAGATCAGGTGGTGCTGTTCTTCAAAGTACTATTGCAATTCATTAGATTTAACATCACAAATACTTAAAACTAGACAGATCTTTTGAGGTAAATGAGAAGTATCAAAAATTCAACTTTACAACTAAAATAAAACCCAGAATGTCACGAAAAATGACTGCATTGAGGCACTGAAGCTGATGCACAATAAAATAATCTTCTAGTACCAGGCTATAATCAAATGTTGAGTTTCATCCAAAATGTAAATCAACAGCCTTCTCCCATTCTGGAAAAGCCGTGTTCATTCTTTCGTTCATTCTTTCTTTTTGTCTCTCCCTCTCTCCATCCCTCTCGCTGTAATTCTCTCCCTCTCTTCAATTCTCTAAATTTTTAAAATAAAATTTTTAAATTTTTAATAAGAACTACTTGCCTCACTAATAAAATTAAAAAAAAAAAAAGAAACAAAAACCATTAACTCAACAGATGTCCTTCACCCAAACAAAAAACTATTAGCTGAACTAAGCAGCGTGCTAGTTCAGCGTGCTAGTTAGGAGAGGCTTGCCCTACAATGTGGCCCACATGCCTTTCATTCTCATCATGGAAAGTCAACAATTTGTAAGCAGCCGTTTGAGCAGCCTAAGATTAAAAAACCATACCATGACAAGACTATCACAGACCATTCTGCAGAAAAAGCATAAATCTGAAAAGGGCAGCAAGCCCTAACCACATACCCAATCAACAGTACAGAAGTTAACAGCCTCAGCGAAATTGAAGCCCTGGTTAAAACCACTATGGTAGGCTCTCGGGAACGTGATCACGAACTCTCCAGCACACTGATTCGTTCGGTAAACCTAGAAAATAGAAATTGAAGACATTTAGCAGCATTCTCACAAAAGACAATCCTAACATTGACTACTGGATAGCTGATGACTAGAGGCTGCTTCCAGCAACTGACCACCAAGGGAGAATAAAAACAATAGCAGGACAGCATCTAGAGACACATCTGTCACAAGCAGAGTTGAAACCCCAGACTACCATGAGTATCTCAACAGAAAACACCATCTGTAGTTTAAGATACAGCTACACCCAGAATCAGGACAAGTTCTCTAAACACTGACAGCTCAGAATACCCCCGTCTGCTCAGGAGATTGGCCATAAGGCTGTGCGTGTGGAGGCCCAGGTTTAGTTCCGGAGCCTCAATGGGAGTGACCCCCAAACACCCAGCAAGAAGGAACCCCGGAGGTCCTACCTTGTTCAAAAAAGAACAAGAAAAAAGACTATTCTAGTATAGGAGGCCAGATATACAGCTCCATGCACAGAAAGTATGTTTCAGATGCATATGGTTCTAGAGTCAATATACAAATTGATCTCACCCTTGTCCCACCAAAATAATCCTAGTATTGTTACCTCCTTACACCAATTAAAGAAATTTAACACTATTTTAAGGTTCTTATCTAAGCAAAGTTCTTCCTGACTGGTGTCCAAACTTAACTCCTATCAACAATTCCCCTCTGCACAATACCAAGTTTCCCCCCAAAAAAGATGCTTATGTTGCTCTAGGTGCACAAATTCTCAAACTAAATGAACAGTTGGCTTTGGGAGGACAGTGCTACAGTGCTTTCTGAGTCATGGTTCTCAGATGGTTCCCAAATTGTGAATCCCAGACGAACAGCATCATTATCAACTACAAATCTGGAAACATAAACCCGTGGCCATCACCCAAACCTACGCAGGAAGGAGAGGGGTGAGCCTTAGTCACTTGTGTTCTAGCACGACTTTCTGGGTGCTGACCAGGCCTGGTACAATCCCTTCCATTAGGACTCTCCTACCCCCACACTTTATACATATTCCTGATCAGGGCTACAAATCACAGTTCAACAACACGAGCTGCAGAGTCAAAAAGATCAATCTCCCAGTCCATTATATATGCAAACATTATGATTCACCAAAAGGAACTGAGACCCTCATATTTCTTCATTATCTGTTATGTCTAGAATCTAACCCCATACGGTGTGCTAAATTACTGATGAGCATGTCATGATCAGGTCTCACTAAGGGAAAGCTACTCACAACAAAAAGTTCAATCAATAGGGTGCATACACACAAACCATGTAGAAAGTAACAGTAAGATGGAGTATTTTGGTCACTGTCACTGTCCTCCCATTGTTCACTGATTTTGCTCGAGCGGGCCCAGTAATGTCTCTGTTGTGAGACTTGTTGTTACTGTGTTTGGCATCACGGGTACCTTGCCAGGCTTTGCCATGCAGGCTAGATACTCTCGGTAGCTTGCTGGGCTCTCCGAGAGGAGCGGAGGAATCAAACCCAGGTCGGCTGGGTCGGCAGCATGCAAGGCAAATGCCCTACCACTGTGATATCACTCCAGCCCCAAACTATGTGCCATTAAATAATTTATAATCCCTCAAAGTCCATCTGCCTCCTTTTTCTAGCCTACAGACCAAAAAATACATAATTTAGGTCACAGCAAGATCAAGAATTTGCTTTAACACCTGCCTTTGGGGCAGGCTTTAGTGGTGGTGAGAAAACTTGACATAATGGTGGAGGAAAGGAATAATGGTGGTGGGACTGGTGTTGAAATATTGAATGCAATCAATTATTGTGAACAACTTTATAAAATAAAATTGAAAAATAAAATAATAAAATAAAACAAAAAAAGAATTTGCTTTAAAATTACAAATGCAGCATTGAGCAGAGCAATAGCACAATGTGTAGGGCTTGTACACAGCCAATCCAGGTTTGCTCTAAGGCATCTCATATGGTCCTCCCTCACTGTCAGGAGTAATTCCAGAGTACAGAGCTAGGAGTATCACTTGAGCAAAATAATTTTAAAAAATTATAAATGTAGCATTTACATTTTGATTTAGCTAAGACAAGTAAGTCTTCAACTTGTATCTAATCTGTATCAAAACCTGGCCTCAAAAAAAATCCCCAGAGTATTCTGATTGCAAACGCCTTGGGAACCAGTAAACAATAACACTGCTTATCCTGGAACACAACTTCAAGAACTTGAAATAGGCCCGAACAATAATCTAGGTGGTAGGGCATTTGCCTTGCACATGGTTGACCCAGATTCAAACCTTGGCAGCTCCTACCGTCCTCCAAGCCCACCAGGAGTGATCCCTGAGCATAGAGCCAAGAATAAGCCCTAAGCACCACCAGGAAAGGCCCCCCAAAAAGGAACTTGCCTTGAATGTGCTCTACAACAGTCTGATCCCTCATATTACATCAGCCCGCCAGGACAGCCCCTGAGCAGAGCTGGGAACAGCTCCCTAGCACCATATGAGCTTGTTGGGGATGGGAACTGAACTGTAACTAAGACCATCAGACATGCTCGTTACTAACATGATTAAGATCATCTAGATTCAAGAAATTACTTTTGTAAATGGGAACAGACTATGTTTCTAACACTAGAGTTCAGATTGAAAAATTGTAATTGAACCTAAATAATTTATAGTAATTTAATTTACACAAGTAACATGTGCTTTTTTTCCCTCTATTCTTTTTTTTTGGGGGGGGAGGGAGTAGGGGTGGGATACACCTGGCAGTGCTCAGAGCTTACTATTGGCTCTGCAATCAGGAATCACTCCTGGTAGGCTCAGGGGACCTTATGGGATGCTGGGGATTAAACCCAGGTCAGCTGAGTGCAAGGCAAACCACCTTGTCCAATGTATTATCACTCTGGCCCTGGTGTATTATTTTTTATTTTTGCAGTGCAGGGAGCAAACCCAGACCCTTACATAGGCAAGACAAGTGCACTACTGCACCCTTGGGCCCACATGTTTCTTTTTAACATGTTTTTGGTTCCTACATCCAAAAACTGAGGTTATTAAGCCAAAACAAACAGCTTAACATCAGTCAATGCTTGTATCACCAGTACATACACTTGTGTTTATCAATCTAATTACTACCTGCAACAAATTAGCTTTTGTGGTCGCATAACAGAGTATCTATATACCAAAATCCATCAACAGCTGTGTCTACTCTTCAGCTCTACCATAGGAGAACAAAGAGATCAACCTCGAGAGAACCATGCTAGCAAGGAAAAGGAAGTGGTGCAGTGAAGCCCAAGTGACAGAAGGCTGGCCCAGGACATACAGGCACTTCGTGGGTCATCAGGGTATTGGGGTTCATGATGGTGACGAGCTGATGGAGGAGATCGGGCTGAGAAACAAAGAGCTCCGGAGCTAATTTCTTCATGACATTTTCTAAGTGTTCGGCAGCATATCCTGGGACTCCATACCAGGTTTTTGGCTCACCCCTGGAAAGATTATAAAAAGAAATCAATCTGCAATACCAAAACATGCAAATGGTTAATCACGTCAGGTTTTTCAGATGCCGTTTTGTAATACTACGCTACAAAGGCACGTTCAAACTAAAGAAGCTTCCTTAGAAATGTGACGTGAACATATGTAACACATTTTCCCCCTTCAAGTGAAAAGCTTAAACAGGAGAGTTTCCAGCTGAGAATCCTCTCCTCCCTCCATTTGGTCTGACTCTAGAAAATGTAGGTAATTAAGAGTCTCTGTGCATATAAGGCCTCCAATGCTAGCCATGGGACATGTGGTCACCATCACATCCAACAGCAGTTGACAGGGGATGGCAACACTCTATCTTCAAATCAAAGACTACTAAGGATATTGGTATGTCTAAAGAGCTTTGATACTTCAAAGCACTTTGGGGATAGCAGCTCCCCATACTCCTGGGGGCCATCAGGACTACACACACTGGGTGCTCAGGAGCATATGGTGCCAGGGATCCAACCCGGAGCCCAGTGCACACAAAGTATGCATGCTATAGAACCCTTGGAGCTATCAGCCCAGTCTTTTTCAAAGCACTTTGGAATTGTCAAGCAATGAATCTGTGAAAACTCTGTGAAGCATGGTGAGTATCAGCTCTGAGTCGCAGCTGGGAAGGATTGTGTCTGTGGAAGAGAACTGACGCCCAAACATATATGGGCCAATTCTCTCTTTGTTGTGGTATATCCACAAACTCCTTGGGTGGGGATTTATATGAGTTACAAACCTTCAAGCAAATCTCTTTGTACTTAGGAAAGCAAAGGAAACGGGAAGGGAAACATGTGGAAAAAAATTAATGCCTTTTGGATTGTAACAAAGAAAAACGAAAAAAAAAAAAATCAAGTATCTCCCCTACAGCCCCTGCATCATCCCCACCCCATGCAGTGATGTCAGGATCCATCTCAACCCAACATTAAGCTGTAAGTCCCAAGGACAGAGAACTACCTCATCATGGTACCCACAAACCCACTCCTCTGGTTTCTGGGCTACCTGAGTCACTGTGGGCCCAGTAACATTGTGAGACTTGCTGTTACTGTGTTTGGCATATCAAATACATCACGGGGAGCTTGCCAGGCTTTGCCGTGAGGGCACTCTCGGTAGCTTGCTGGGCTCTCCGAGAGGGGCGGAGAAATCGAACATGGGTCGGCCCTGTCGGCCGCATGTAAGGCAAATGCCCTACCCCACTGGACGGCATGTTCCATAATAAAGTGTGTGTGTGTGTGTGTGTGTGTGTGTGTGTGTGTGTGTGTGTGTGTGTGTCTAGTGGTGGTGGACTGGGGGCGGGGAGGTCCTCCCAAGTGAGGTTCAGGAAGGCTGAGGTTTTTCCCAGCAATTCCTGGTCAACTAGGCTAACTGTGCACTATGGGAGCCTGAGAATGTGGCCTGATGCCCACCCAGGTCACCCAGCAGTACTTGGCGTGGACATGTGGGCAGGACAGATTTGGGGACACGTGCAGGCAATGATGTGCCTAAAGCTCTCTACAATCCTGTCTTGTTCAGGTCGTCTCTAAAATGTAAAACCAAACCAAAACCATTTACACCCTCTGCAGAAATAAGTCAGACTCAAAAATTTCTATGAGCAGAAAATCCTCTTAGGAGGTCCCCTTGGGCCATGGGGCTTCCTGCCCATCCCCTTCCTTCCTATTCTCTGAAAATCTTTTTCTGACCAAAAAAAAAAAAAAAAAAAAAAGCAAAAGACATATGTGTGTGCTGTTTCAGGCGATGCCTGTTCCCAGGAAACATCAAGAGCTGTTTTTTGAATTTGTTAGGATGCTCCACTGCAACAATAGTGAAAAAAAAAAATTAAGCAAAAGCAGAAGTGGGTCATTACTCGTTCACTTATGTTTAAGTCACTGATCAGAGTTAAGACACAGGAGCATTTATCAATGCCATCAACATACTATTCACGTGCAGTTGGTTATCTGGGTCTTCTTACCAGTGCAAATAGTTAATCGAATAGCTCCAGTGGTCTTCAATGTGCCAGCAGAATGAGGAGAAGCACATGCCCACATACAGCCATGGGAGCTTCATGCCGCAGATGTCCGCAGTGATGTGGGCGAGAACAGACTGCTCCATCACCGGCATGTTGTTCAGGTTCCAGCCACTGTCCAGGTACTCCTACAAATTATGGGGACAAAACCTGTATAAAGGCTTGGCTGCCCCAAGCTCATGTTTTAGACCCTGTTTCAAGATGTGTGCTGCCCGTCGCCTCCCTTAAATTAAAACCAACAGATAGAAGAAGCTACTATCTTAATCTCAGGGCATGCCCATAGATTAGTTTTGTCCAATGTTGAGCTTTATATATATAAAGGGATTTGCGGTAATACTTTTAATTCTAAACTTCCCCCTACACACACGTTTTTTCAGTTACAAAGAATACACATAGTATGAGTCCATTTACATAGATTTTAAAAACAGGAAAATGCATCTATGCTATTCAGGTCAGATTAGTAGTTATCCTGTGTGGTTGTCCTGATAAAGGGAAAAAATGAAGGAGAGAGACAAAAGAAGTTCTGGTAATAATCTAGATTTTGTTCCAATGCTGGTTAATAGTATATTCTGATTTTAAAAATATATCCAGCTGTACACATATAATAATGTACATTTTCTTCTGTAAGTGTGTTAGATTTCAAAATAGGTATTTTGAAAAGTCTGACTCCTGAGGCCGGAGAGAGATTATACAGCATATAGAATGCTTGTCCTGCATGTGTCAGACCCAGGTTCAATCCCTGGCAGCACTTCTGGTTCCTGAGCACTGCCAGAAGTGAATCCCTAAGCATTATTTTGGGTGTGGTCCCAAGATAAAACAATCCTTCCAACTAGGCAAGAAATAGAAAAATCCTTCCTAAGAGATATTGTTAGCATGGAAAACAATACACCTAACTAGCATTAAGTTAAAAAATAAATGGGTTTGGTTCCAATTGCTCCTATTTTCTTCAGAAGAAGCAAAATTATAGAATCTGAAGCCAAAGGGACTGAGCAATTCTGACAGCATGTCCCAATGGAATACAACAGAGGGGGCTAGAATGTTTCAGTAGGATCTACTTTATTTTTTGCTTTTTTGGATCACACCCAGCAATGCACAGGAGTTACTCCTGGTTCATGCATTCAGAAATCTCTCCTGGCAGTGCTCGGGGGACCATATGGGATGCTGGGAATCGAACCTGGGTCTGCTGCGTGCAAGGCCTGCTGTGCTATTGCTCCAGCCCCAGGATCTACTTTATTTTTGTAATTAAAATAAGCAGGATAATTGAGGGTTTTCTGAAAGGTAATCATTATTTCAAGTCAACCAAATAAAATTTAAATCAATAACGTAATTTTTTATAAATATGCATACTTCTTGCAATAGGATTGGGATTTCGATTAGAGTCAGGACAGCTAGCCTTCATTTCCCTCCGAACCCCTCCCCCCCACACCCCGCCTCCTTCCCTTGGTTTGCTGATGGGCTGACTAGGGCTTATTTATTCCTGGCTCTGTGCTCAGGGATCACTAGTGGCTATGTGGTTGGGTGGGTGGGTGGGTCGGGAGCACACCATATGGGATGATGGGGATAGAACCCATGTCAGTCATGTGCAAGGCAAGCACCCTAGGTGCTGTGCTGCAGCTCAGGCCCTGGCCTCCACTTCACTGTAATGCTTGCATGCACCCTACAGTGCCCTGAAGATCGCACAATGCCGCAGCACGGTGTGTCCTGGAGAGCAGAGCCACCGGCATGGTGCTGGGAATATTGGGGTATCATGGGCACAGGCTTACCAGGATAACAGTGAGCCATCCCATCACCCTGCTTATTATTATATTTCATTCTTATATTATTATATTTCATTCCTTTCACTAGACCCAACTTAAAAGCAGGTCTCTTCCCCTCTACTTGCTCAAAGTATAATCAAGTCAGAACGACGACCTACCTCTTCCTCAGGAGAAAGTTTGAGTTTTCCATCTCGGACAGGGAAGCCACTGCCAAATTCTTTTGAGGCAATATCTGCTCCATACTCCACGGTGACATCCTCTTCGATGGTGCTTACCAGCCGCCAAAATTCCTTCTCAACCAGTTCTGTGGGTACCATCTGTGAAACAAAACCTTGATGAAGAAGAGGGACCAAAGTGATGGTTCAGCAGTAGGGTGCTTGCTTAGCAAGCAGCTGACCCAGGTTCAATTACCAGCATCCCATATAGTCCCCTGAGCACCACCAGGAATAATTTCTGAGCGCAGAGTCAAGATGTGGCACAAAAATCAAAGAAAAGAAAAGAAAAATGCTGACATTGAGAAATTAGAGATGCCTTTCTGCTTTGAAAAATGTAGTAAGTCAACTGCTTGCCCTCTCAGAGTGATTAATAGTTGTTTGAATAATGCTGTATCTTTCTGAATATAATACATGAACCCATCCTTTTCATTCTTTTCACTAGAGAAAAGCGCCTGCTATAGATGCAGGCAGGCAGGGAGTAGGGGGTGATAGGAGGGAATCTGGGGACACTGGTACTAGAAAACGTACAATGATGGAGGGATGGGTCTTGGAATACTCTATGATTAAAATCCAATCATGAACAGCTTTGTAAGGGTCTATCTCATAGTGATTCAATAAAAAGGTTAAAAAAAAAAGGTATATGCCCTACCCACTGTACTACCACTCTGGCCCCCAATGCACTAAACTGTAATATAACTTGACTAAACCACACAAAGATTTAATAGTGCACAAAAATGGTTGTTAGGGGGAGGTGCTAACTCAGATTTCAAAATAATTAATTCAAAAGAAACTTCTCCAGAAGTTTTAGAAATTCAAAACCAAAACCTAAGTATGAGCGTACATGGACTGGCATGTTGAAGTAATCCGATTTGAATGCATCTGCCATTTCCCCAAAAGTACGAAGAGTATAGTCCCTGGCCGCTTGTTCAAAGCCGAATGCTTCTTGTGGCTTACTACACTCCTGCAAAATAAGTAACGAAGAAGAAGAAGAATAGGTGTATTATATAAATCACACTTGATCATACATAATTTTTAAGCAGATTAGCATGGTTTATAAATGTACTGCTCACAAAATGTCTGGATAAATGAAAGAACACATACCAAAGTGTTAGCATTGGTTATTTTTAAACAATAAAATCATAACTCTTTTCTAAGAGTAAGTTTTAGCTCAGAGCACACATGCTTTCTTTAAAATAGCTTTCTGCCCAGTTGCTGCTTGCATGGCTACAGACCCTCCCTTCTGTCCCAAGGAGGTCTGCTCCCATTTCTTTTCCCATGGGTCTCATTACTACCAATGACCAACTCTAAAGCCCAAAGACAAAAAAAAAAAAAAAAAAAAAAAAACTGTTCTGAGAAAGTTTCTACTGCTCCACCTGCTATTAATTCCTACCTGAGCCAAACACTTCGGACACCTCCAGTCTCCCTTGGGAACATCATGGAGAGGGGGGATCAGGCAGAAAGTGTGGTAGCTGTCATCGCAGCCATCACACAGGAGAAGGCGGTCCTCGTCGTTGCCACTGCCACACAAGAGGCACACATACAGGTCGACCTGCAGCAAAGGAAGCGGGCGCAGAACAAAGGAGCATGAGCCGCCTGCACTGTGAAATGAGACAGATGACTGATCAACTCTCTTCTGCCTGCTCCCAATAAAAAGTGTGTCACCATCTATAAAGGACAGTTCACAGTAGCCTGACACACACGACTATAACGCATTTACAGTTTTCTCAATTTCTCATTAGTTTTCTCAAGGAATCTTCTCAATATTCTCCCACCTTGCTCAATTGTGTTTTTTGTTTATTTGGCGGGGGGGTGAGGGTAGGGGTGGGGGGCTGTGAGGGTGTGGGGGAGGGAAGGGGCACTGCTGCGACCACACTTGGTGATGCTCAGGGGTTACTTCAGGCTCTGCACTCAGGAATTACTCCTGAAAGTGCTCGAAGGACCATATAGGATGCTGGGGATTGAACCCGGGCCAGCCACTTGCAAGACAAACATCCTACCAGCTTAATCAATTGTATGTTTTAAAGTTACTTACACATTCATCTTATAGTAAATTAGTGAGAACCAATCTAGAGATACAGCTCACTAGGCATTAATTATCAACCTCCTCTCTCTCTCCCCTCCAAAATTGAAGCTGTCATGTTTTAAAGAAAGTAATGAAATGAAACCCATCACTAATTTATATTCTAGTCATGGTTAAGAAGTTTCGGTCTTTGAAGAGCTACATTGTATCCCACCACCACCCTCAAAACTTCATAGCCATGCCCCCAGATCCCATGTCAGGCTGTTTCATTCAGGGCAACCCAGAGCAGGGTGGTAAGGCCCCTCCCTGCCCCAACAGAGCCAGCCCAGGATCTGAGAACCTCCAGAATTCAAAAGCCGCCATGCTCACAGCTGGCTCTCCACATGCTTGGACGGGCCTCACCCATGAGTCGATCTATTCCTGGACCTCCCAACCCAGACATCTCATACTTTACACTGCCAATATACCAAGAGTAGCACACCACATTTGATTGGGAAGGCAACCAATCTTAGGGGGAAATATATCAATACAGATATAGATATAAGCAAACAAGGCTCAATCTTTAACAACATGTTACTAATCTCTTATACAAGGACTTACTGGCTCCTACGTGAAATACAACAATCTTTAAGCTTTCCTATAAGAAACCTTTTTTGTCTCATTCTTAGTGGATTATTCATAACAAGCGATACAAAGTAAATTACTTCGGTTCTGCTTGTTGGGCAGGGTTTAGGGTTAGGATGGAAATATGGTGGTTTGTATTGGTGTTGGAATTATTAAATGTAATCAAATACTGTGAACAACTTTAAAAAAATAAAATTTAAAAAAATAACAATAAATCCTAACCCCTAATACCACAGAATGTAAATACTGCAAAAATAATGAGGGTCTATGCTTAGCACGCTCAGCATGTAAGGCCCAGTTCTGATCCAAGGCACTCACAGTAACCTGAAGACAGATAGGAGAGACCCTGGGCATTCATCCAGGTATGACCCCAAAGAAAATAAAACAAAAAAAATATATGAATTATCTGGAGATAGTGTCTTTAAGGCAGTGGTTAGGGCAGAGACAGACCCTCAAGTGCATTGTTATCTGATCTTTGAAAAAAAGGGAGCTAAGACTATGAAGTGAAGCAAGGAACAAGACTTTGGCAAAGGGAGGGCTACACACCAGAAAAACCAGACCTTCCCAGGTCTGGCCTCAGAGTCCCAAACCTTCAGACCTTCAGGAAATATACTTTCTATTCTCTAAGTCACTCTAGAGAAATTTATTATAGCAGGCAGTCCTAGCAGACTAATGCATAGAGAGCACAAATAGAAAACTAGTATTTGAAATGTTAAAAGAAAAAATCTCTTTTTGCCATCAACTAGCAAATGAAAGATTTTTGCTAAAAAAAAAAAAAAGGAATGGAAATGGCTGGGTAATTAAATTTATCAGGAGAACAAATGGTGAGGCCAGAGAGATAGTACAGCAGGTAGGAGGCATGACTTGCATGCAGCCAACCGAAGTTCAATCCCCAGCATCCCATAAGGTCCCCTGAGCACCACCAGGAGTGATTCTTGAGAGTAGTGCCAGAAGTAGCCCCTGAACACTCCCACGTGTGGCCCAAAAACTAACAAAACAGGGAGAGAGAGAAGAAATGGAATAATTTTCCATTTCAAGATTAAAAAACACTTTTATCAAGCTACTCATTGAGTTTCCAAATGGAGTTAAAGACAAATAGCAAATTTCAAAATTTTCTGTGCTGCCAGGTCCTTACCTCGTATTCCCCTCACCAACTACTTTCTGCTTTAAATTTTATTTCATTTCTTTATATTAGTTTACAGTACTTTATTACTGCAATCACACCACCATTACACCTACCCACTACCATACTTCGGGTGTTTCCATCCCAAACCCCAACCCCCGCCCCAAAGAAGAACCAAATGAATAAACCGCGGAAATGATCCAAAAAAGTTTTCTTAGAGGAAAGTGTGAAGACTGTTGTATTTCACCTAGGGGACATTAAGGCCTTCTACAAGAGTTCACTGAAGTTTCACCAACTACTTTCCCCTCCTTTCTTTCCACTTCCTTGCAGGAAAATTAGAAAACATCAATTCAATATTTGATCTAGCATTAAATTTATAAAATTTATAAAACTTATTAAACTTATACAATCTGGAGGTTTTATAAAAAGTTTTATAAGAGCACTATTTCACTACTATTTAATGCTAAACTGAATGCACTGTAGTACTGAAAACAACATCCTCTCCCCATCTTCATACTGCATTTGTGTATTTCCTAGTTTTAGAAACTGAAGAGAGGCCAGAAAGACAGTACAGCTGGTAGGGCATCTGCTTTGCATGCACCACACCAGACCCAGGTTTAATCCCCGGCATCTCATATGGTTCCCCTGAACTGGCCAGGAGTGATCAGGAGTACAGTCACTCCAGGAGTGCATACACCCTATGCACATCTAGGTCAGGCCAAAAAAAAAAAAAATCAAAACAACAAACAACAAAGAAACTGGTATGAACTTCTTTGAATCAAGATCTACTTGGGGCTGGAAGGGGCTTGTTCCTGCATATGGCAGACCCAGGTTCTATCACCAGCACCCCTTATAGTCCGAGTCCCAGGAGTGACCAATCAGAGTACAGAACCAGGAGTAGGCCCTGAGTATAGCCAGGTATGACACCAAAACAAGAGCAAAAGCCAGGAAAGCAAGGAAAGGTGGAGGTAGGGGGAGGGTAGGCCTACTCAAAGCTGGATACTAAATTATTAGTCAAAAGTATACTCAGGATGAGCCGGGGGTGCGGGGGCGACTAAAACCTCATGGGAAGGGGGGGCGTTCCGGTCCGTCCTTCACGCCCTACCGAGGTCACCAGTTGCCCCCGCGAGCGGCTCTCCAGCACAGCCACGGCCCCAGAAGCACAAGGACTTAATGCAGAACCCGGCAGCTTGGAGCAGAAAAGTGAACGGACTATGCGTTAATCCAGGCCATCAGGTCTGTCCGGAGGGGAAAGGGTGTTGTCCCAGTCGCCTTCTCCTCTCTGGAAAGAAAGATGGCGGCCACATGGGAGCCTTGTGGACAGCAGGTATGAGCCGGGGGAGTGGGGGGCGACTAAAACCTCATGGGAAGGGGGGCGTTTCGGTCCGTCCTTCACGCCCTACCGAGGCCACCAGTTGCCCCCCACGAGCGGCTCTCCAGCACGGCCACAGCCCCAGAAGCACAAGGACTTAATGCAGAACCCGGCAGCTTGGAGCAGAAAAGTGAACGGACTATGCGTTAATCCAGGCCATCAGGTCTGTCCGGAGGGGAAAGGGTGTTGTCCCAGTCGCCTTCTCCTCTCTGGAAAGAAAGATGGCGGCCACATGGGAGCCTTGTGGACAGCAGGTATGAGCCGGGGGAGTGGGGGGCGACTAAAACCTCATGGGAAGGGGGGCGTTTCGGTCCGCCCTTCACGCCCTACCGAGGCCACCAGTTGCCCCCCACGAGCGGCTCTCCAGCACGGCCACGACTCCAGAGCACAGAAACCAATTTCTTAACTATCTGACTTTCAGCAGAAATACTTCCAGGGTCAATAGGTAAAATAGCAGAAATCCAAAACCAACATTTAATTCTTGAACCCAGCTGTAGAAAGCAAATCACTTCACAATGCTTTTTCAGCATGTCTGATTGGGGGGGGGGGGGGGTAAACTCTAAATAATAGTGGTGAATCTTTTATTGAAACAATGAATCTAATCAAAGCAGATAGAGTGTTAACCAGAATTCATCTGCCTCACAGGGACTGGGAGGGGTGGGGGGTGGGGTTTTATTGGGGTTCTTCATGGTAAAAAATAAGTATTGGTAAAGGTAAATGTGTTTGATATTTGCATGACTGAGACCTAAACCTGAAAGCTTTGTAACCTTTCCCACAGTGATTCAATTAAAAAAAAAAGTATACTCAGAGAGAGAGTGTGTTGAATGTGTCAACTCACAGCATTGGTGGCTTTCTTCGACCGGCTCTTGGGTTTTTCCTTTTCATTTTCTACAATATAGTCTTTCTTCTCAATAGGTTCTTGCTTGATGCTGCTCTTCACTTCTTTCTCTGAAAGAGACAATGACAGTGAGCTTCACTACAATCTTTTCTCAGCTTCCACTTGCCCAAAGCATGTGATTTGATACAAACAAACAATTTGGCCTAAAGCAAACAATGTGATACAACTTCAAACTTCTTTTCAGTTTAATAGTAGCTGTTACTTCACTCAAGAGCTCCTACTGAATTGTAGCACTATCCACTGTCCTCCCGTTGTTCATCGATTTGCTTGAGCAGGCCCAGTTAACATCTCCATCGCAAGACTTGTTACTGTGTTTGGCATATCGAATACACGTCATGGGTAGCTTGCCAGGCTCTCCCCGAGAGGGGCGGAGGAATCGAAGACCCCAGGGTCGTCCTGGTCAGCCGCGTGCAAGGCAAATGCCCTACCCGCTGTGCTATTGCTCCAGCCCCCTACTGAATTAATCTATAATAAAATGCAGTCATATCATTTAAATGTCAAGATGTGGTCATGTTTGGTAATCTCCCTCAGGCTTGTGTAAGACACAAGATTTTTGATGGAGGCAAGTTCCTCTTGATATTGTCAGTAAGTGATTTTTTTAATGCATTACATGTACGTCCTGCACAGTATATCTTATCCCTCATAATCCAGGATCACTCACCTCTCTGAACTCTCAGATGTAAAAACTAAAACTAGACAATACACCAGCTACCATCTAATAATCTATCCTGATGAGCACTGTTAAATGCTTTCAAGTTCATTTAATCCTTTGCAATAAAATCTTTTTCAAAGAAAGTTGATATTAAACAATCAAGGGCCAGAGAGATAGTGTAGCAGAGTTTTTTCCTTACACATGACAAACCTGGGTTGAATGCTGGGCATGTCATATGGTCCCCAAGTCCCACTAGGAAAAATCCCTGTGCACTAAACCAGAAGCAAGCCCTGAACGCTGCAGGATGTGGCCCAAAAAGAAACCAAAAAACTTTTAAAATAAATCAAGAACTATCTCAAACTGATTAGTGCAAACTGGATGTTAAAGAAGGAAAAGGAGGGGCTGGAACAATAGCACAGCGGGTAGGGCATTTGCCTTGCACAGGGCCGACCCGGGTTCAATTCCCAGCATCCCATATGGTCCCCCGAGCACTGCCAGGAGTAATTCCTGAGTGCAGAGCCAGGAGTAACCCCTGGGCATCGCTGGATGTGACCCAAAAAGAAAAAAAAAAAAAGGAAGAGGAGGAGGGAGGAGGAGACTCAGAGCTGTGTTTCTTTATATCCATGTTATAGACCACTACCTTTCCACTAAACGAACACTCTAGGAATCAGCCACACAACAGTAGTTGTTGGTTGTTCTATATGATACAGGATGGTATCTCTGAAGAATGACCTAAACCTCTCAATGACTGACATCAAGCAAAAGTCAGGTAATCTGCTTAAAACTCAGATTTTTAAACATGTCTGGGCCTGGGAGAGCAACACAGTGGTGGTTTGGATACCTGCCTTGCAATTGTAGATGGGCCCAGACACACCCCGGTGGGCAGGGTCTTGCGGGTCCCCTGAGCCTTACCAGGAGTGCTGCCTGAGCACATAGCCAGGTGTGTGGCCCCCCCCCCCCCCAAAAAAAAGAACCATGAACAAGCTCCACAACCACAGCACTGTGAACCTCAGAGACCACCACTGCCAAGCGTGCAAGCACCAACCATGACCAAGGTGGGGGACCCCCCCAACAAATACATATAAAGCCCCCTCATCACAGACAATGGAAAGGAGGATGGAAGGCAATGCAAATTATTTTCTTAAAAAAAAAGTGTCACCATGCAGCTCTAAGAAAGTGCAAAACCACGCAGTCAGTAACACCCTGGGTGGGACTGGAGGACGCCAGGCCCAGTGAGGGTGTGAGACAGCGAGGCTCTTGATCTCCCAAGAGAAGGATCTCGGTCAGGTGTGGGGCTGAGCAACGGGGCGCTTCCAGGGGCGAGCACGTGATTCTGAAGGAGTGAGCGATGATTCTGGAGCTACGCCCTGCTGCATCCCTATGACTGATGCCGCTCTTACCATTCTCACATTTCGGAGCCGGACAGCCTGTTCGACGTCTTAGGTTATGAGTTCTTGCCTCTGATGTCTCTTCCGGTTCAATTTTAATATTCGTAGCCTTAAAGAAACAGTATCATACATGTGAACACTGTCTTTAAAAAAAAGAAACCTATTGAAAATCTACTTGGCGGGCCATAGAGGGCAGTGGATGAGGCACTTGCCTTGCACACAGCTGACCCAAGTTCCGCAACTCACGTGTTCCTAGAGTCGATTCCTATCAGAATCACAAAATGACTGATTCTAACGCTGTCTCCCCTCACCGGGCAATCAAAACGTGGTTCTCTTTCCCTTAGAGACATCACATCCCCATCATTCGGAATGACTAAGGAAACTTAGAAATTAAAAGAGAAGTTATTTGGGCCAGAGAGGTATTACAGCTGGGAGGGTACTTTCCATATGGCCAGGCACCCATGTGGCCCTCTATGCCTGCCAGGAGTGACTCCTGAGCACTATCAAGAATGCCCCACATCAACACCTTCCCTCTCCACTCCCTATAAAGGGGAGCAGTTACTTTTTATCATGATGTAGAAAAGTATCAAGAACAAATTCTGGGACATGGTCCTTCCCAAACTGGGACAGCTCTTATTTTCCTTCTGAAAGTCCCTCAGTTCTCAACTACTTGAATTTTTTTTAAAGTCATCATTAAGCCAAATGACTTACATCAAACATATCAAAATGTCATTAGTATATGTTTTGGGCCTGTCATTTATTTATGAAAAATTTAGCTTTCAAAACAATTATCTACTTACTTTATTAGTAAAAAACTATTAGAAATTATTCTTATGACATTGCTAAGTTGGGGCTGGGGAAAGTACAATAGACAAGAGCACTGGCCTTGCACGAGGCCCACCCAGATGCAATCCCAAGCACCCCATATGGTCCCCTGTGCCCCACCAGGAATGATCCTGAACACAGAACCAGGATTAAGCCCTCAGCACTCCAGGGTGTGTCCCAAACCAGCTCCCCAAGATACTGCTAGGTGAAATTCCCTTACCACTGATATTATCAGAAGCAGGCTCAATTTCATTTTCTTGTTGAAGAGCTAGTATATTTATTGGTCAAAAAATAATCCTTGGGGCTGGAGCGATAGCACAGCGGGTAGGGCATTTGCCTTGCATGTGGCCGACCCAGGTTCGATTCCCAGCATCCCTTATGGTTCCCCAGCACCACCAGGAGTAATTCCTGAGTGAAGAGCCAGGAGTAACCCCTGTGCATCGCCAGGTGTGACCCAAAAAGCAAAAAATAAAAAGTAAACACTGGAGGGTTTGTCAAAGTGTATGTGAACTTCCTTCCCATATCTTCATTAAGGTATGCTGAAAACATCCATGGCCAACACAAATCTCTCCCACTGGGATTGTAGTGACAGCCGTGGGGAAGGCATTAGTCTTGCACACTGCTGACCCAGATTCCATTCTCAGCATCACATATGGTCCCCTAAGCACCACCAGAAATGATTCCTGAGCACAGAGTTAAGAGTAACACCCAAGTTTCAACAGGTGTGGCCCCCAAAACAAAATTCTCCCACGTAGTGTCAAATCCATCACATGTCATCCATCAGATCTAGGCTTCTTCAACTAAGGTGTATCTAATATTTTAAAGATCCATTTATGCTCAAATGAGCACTACAGATTAATATCATGATTTAAACTTTCTTGTGACCTTCAAATAACAGTATTTTCCTATACATGATGACCGCAATTCAGAAAAACTGACATTTAATAGGAGAACTATTACCTAAATGAAAATTCTCTTATTTATCCATGTATTTTGGGGGGGGTGTGGAGGGAGGGCAGGGGGGATGTTTTAATTTGGGGACTACAACCAGCTGTGACCAAGGCTTACTCCTGGCTCTGTACTCAGTGATCACTCCTGGCAAAGTTCTGAGGACCACTTGTGGTGCTGGGGATCAAACCCGGGGTGGCTATCTACACGGCAAGTTCTTTACATGCTGTACTAATTCTCCAGTTCAGAAAATGGACAGCAATACCAACTATCAGCAATAATTAACAATATCAATAATTAAGAATATCAACCAATAATTGCAGATTCAGAAAACCTATAATGCAGTAAGTTATAAGAAGTCTTAATGCTTAAACTGCCTAAAAGCTTTTCAGGCACATGAAACCTTTGCATCCCTGATTAATAAACAAAGCCTGCAGTAATATTTTCAGGTGAAGCCTCAAGAGAAAACTCTAGAATGGCCCTATCAATTCTTAATCCCCCCTGCTGGTCCCGTAAGTTTCATTTTCATTTTATGTATTAATAAAATGCTTTCCAACCATTGTATTACCATAAATCGGGGCCACTAACTCCAATTCTGCTTTCAAGTTCCCATGGGTACAAAAAGAAAAAGAAAGTTGCCATGGCTAGGCAGGTGGTTCAGCTCAGAGAGCCCAGAGCGCACAGCCCGCTGGGGAATCAGGCAGTCTGAGCATCAAGCAATGATTCTTCCCCCAAAACAGCTGTTTAGTAGGAAATCCCTTCCCCACACACAGCTCTTAGCCTCAATTTACAATGAACCCTGCAGAGCTTCCTGGATGAACTAAAACACCATCAGAATCAATACCAATTCTTCCAACAATTAAGCATCTCATCAGAAAGCACATTAGAAATATAAAATTTGCTCACGTCTAAGAGGCGGAGTGGCCTCTGCATGAGACACATGCGGTGCTGGGCAGCGGCAGCTTTGACAGGCTCAGGGACTCACCTCTGCTCTCATGCGCTTCGCTCTCCGGGCTGGGGGGCACATCTCCGAGGGCTGCACAGACTGCCTCTGGGGAATATCATGGGGCTTGTACTCCTTGTCCTTGGTGTCTGTGGTCAGGTTTGGCTTCTGCAGACACTAGAAATAAGGCAATTATATTGAAAAATTCCTCCCTTTCATCTAGAGAGAATCTGAAGGGACTTTTGCAAGATATGGTAACAGTTTATATAGATACACTATAGGCCTATGATTTTAAAGTTCTAAATAAAAGCAAAAAAAAAAAAGCAAAGATACGCATATAACTACCAATAATAAGCACATGAATATATAGATACATTAACTTTGTGAAAATGTTTAGCAGAGCAGGGCTGGAGAGAGAGTACATCAGGTAAGGGGCTTGCCTTGCAGGCACCCAACTTGGGTTGAACCCCTGAGATCCCATATGATTTCCTGAGCATCGCCAGGAGTAATTCCTGAGTGCAGAGCCAGGAGTATCCCCTGAACATCACTGTGTGTAACCTAAAAAACAAACAACAACAAAAAGGGCCATGTGTTCTGAGCATAGAGCAGGACCAACTCCTCATACTCGATGCTCAAAGGACCAGAGGATATAGTAGAGCAGGTAGGGCATTTCCCTTGCACATGACCAACTTGGGTTGAATCCCCGGCATCCCATATGGTCCCTGAGTCCCACCAGAAGCAATCTCTGAGTACAGAGGCAGGAGTAATACCTGAGCACCAATAGGTAAGGCCCCAAAACAAAATAAATTAAATTAAAATGTTTAGCAAATCATGTAATTACTGGCCCCACTCGAGCAAATCGATGAACAACAGGAGGACAGTGACAGTGACCTTAACTCATTAATCATTTGTTATCATGTCACAACATGCCAGAAGCAGACCCAAGACCTTCCCAATGGGGGACTGTGAATATCCCTGTTCATAACTTAAAAAGCCAGAACTGACAGACCCCTTAACAGCTCTAAAAAATATTCCCATACTCCACTAAGAATGTTATATTTTTAAGCTATTTAAAGTAGAAAAATAAAAGAATACAGTAGAAAAATAGCTCTATGGCTTTTTTTCAATTTTTAGAATCTAAAGAATGATAAGCAATATTCTACTATCCGAAGGTATCTTCAGAACTGAGGAAATAGTATCGGACTATTCTCCCTGATCAGCCTTCCACGTCTTCCAAAATACACAAGGCCAAGATTAATGGGTAGTCACAGCAATAATTTTTACTTCTGATTAGAAGAACATCTCTTTTTGTTTTGACTTTTCTTGTTAGTTTGATTCTAAACTAGCTGAAAGAGGACATATACTACCAGTATAACAAAATGACAACAAAATATTACCACTGGAAGTGGCTTTCAAGCACTACTCCCCGTCCTAAGAGAATTCATAAACATCATAAAGGCATTTTCAATGCAGATTTCGGTACCAAACGAACTTGCAAAGAGATGTTACTAAAATAATGGCATTCTAGAATCCTTGGTTCTACAAATAACATTTTACTATCAGTCTCACTAACAAAAAGGTCTTCCTCTAACATTTGCAGGGAGATGGCTAGAGAACAGTGCAGTGGGTAGGACCCTTGCCTTGCACACAGTCGACCCGGGTTCAATCCCTGGCATCCCATATAGTCCCCCAAGCCCGCCAGGCATGAGCCCTGAGGACATTTTTGGAAGAAAGGAAAGGAGGTAAGGAGGGGAAGGAGAGAGGGAGGAATAGGAGAAAGAAAACAGAGCAACCATCTAGCAACATCTACTTCTCACACTTAAGAAATATGAGCTACAAAAGAATACTTACACTTACATATACTTTGAAATTATGAACACATAAATTATCTAGCTGGAAAAATTAAATATCCTGACATTTCTCTAAAAATGTAACAAAAGTGGAAAACCCACGAAACAAAATACTGACTTCCACACAAAATCCAGAACTGTTCCCCCTCAAACACGATGTCTCAATGTAGAGTGAAAGAAACCAGTTTAAGGCTAGTCGCAAATACTCACTCTTAGACTGTCTCCAGACAAAAATAGGTTGTAGGGATTGAGGATTCTCTCGTAATGCCCTCTGATATGTGAGCCCACAGCTTTGCCAGGGGCAAAGCCCATCTTGGTGGCAATTTTGGTCCATTTTCTATCCTTGCAGACAACTGCAAACCCGCCTTCTTCTGCAACTAACTGTTAAATAATAAAAGCAAAAGGGTTAATAAGTATCTGTTTGGAAATCATTCCTACTTCCCCATATGCCTTGCAGGACAAATGTTCTCAGCTGTGCTAACCTTAAATTTTTAAATTTCTGGGCAGAGAGCGAACAGAGGGCAGAGCACTGACCTTGCAAGCAGCTGGCTGGGTTCAATCCCAGCACCACATATGATATGGCCACCCGAGTGCCACCAGGAATGATCCCTGAGCCCAGAGTCAGGAGAAAGCCCTGAGCTCCACCAGGTGTGACACCACCCTCACCACCCCATCCCCCTGCACCCCCGCCAAAAAATATATAGATATATAGATATAGATATATAGGTATAGATAGATAAGATTTTCCAGGGCCAAGGAGGTAACTCAAAGAGACAGTGAACATGCCAGAAGTCAAACTCAATGACATGGTCTCCTGAGCACTGCTGGGAGCACCAGGCATCACCACCTGCATGCAGGCACAGCCTTTCTAGTCAGGGAAGCGACTTGAAAAGCTGGAGCACGTGTTTTATATATTAAGTCCAGGTTCAATCCCTAGGCCGCAGCTCTGGAGCGCCACAGGAATAGCTCCTAAAGGAGGCAGGCAGACAGGCCAGCAACAATAAAAGAAAATAAATTCTCAGGCACTACAGATATGGCCCAGTGGTAATAAGCCTGTATTACACGTGAGACCCGGGTTCAATCCCAGGTACCACAAAGATAAACATATGTGGTTTCTCGTCGTTGTTGTTGTTTTTGTCGCCCCTCCATCCACCACGCCTCTCTGCAACATCTGGTAAAGCTCTGTGCTTAGATTATCAGCTACTAGTGGGAAGCAGAGGATCATATGTGGTGCCAGGGACTGATTCTGGGTCAGCCACATGCCAGGTAAGTTCCTCAACCCCTGTACCATGATTCTGACCCATATATATTACCTAAATCAAAAGAAAATATACATCCAATACTCTTTATCTGGGGGGGAACGGGGGAGAGGGGAGGTTTAGGCCATACCCGGCAGTGCTCAGGGCATCCTCCTGGCAGGCTCAGGGACCATACAGGGTGCAGGGGATACAACCTAAGGTGGCCATGTGCAAGTAAGTGTCGTGCCTGCTTACTATGGCCCCAGGCCCCACAAAACTCAATTTAAGCTAGAAAATTTTAACACTGCATCTGAAAACACAGTACACAAATCTTTTGGTACCCCCAAAAAAGATGCTTCTCAACTCCTGAAGAACCCAATATTTTTTCTGGGAAGAAAAACACATAAATAATGAGCTGCTAATAAAGTCAGAGTCTAGCGCTTGATTCTACTTCTTGATCCATAAAATTGTATCATGAATACTAAACTGTGAGCACAGCAGCAAGCTTGATAGAAAGAATACAAACTCCAAAGGTAAGTGAAACTATATTTGAGGGAATTTTTTTTGGGGGGGGGGGGGGGTGAAGATGTTTCGTGCCACACCCAGTGGTGCTCAAGGTTTACTCCTGAGCTCACTTATTCTGTGCTCAGGGATCACTCCTGGTGGGCTAAGAGAACAATCTGCAGTACTAGGGATCGAACCCAGGTCGGTCAAATACAAGGCAAGTGCCCAACCCACTCTACTACACCTCTCCAGTCCCTCTTGATTAAATTTTAACTTGATCTTATTAGTTTGGTCAAACTTCTATCCAAGACTAAGTTTTCTCAAACTTAGTAACACAGAGAAAAATTCCTTCTAAGGAAATAAAATTTAAGTTTAAAATGATAAACAGGAGGCAGGCAAAAGAAAATCCAGTTCTCAAAACTGGAGTAGCACCTCATCAGCCAACTGAACTGATAATCTCATTTTAATATTTCAAACAATAACCCCCTTTTTAGGTAATGATCAAATTCACACTGTCAGACAGTATTAAACAGGAAAGATGATTACTTGCTCTTTACCTTATTGAGCTGAAACAAGTCCAAAATTTTCCTCTCCACATGTGGAATTTTCAGTGTACTTCCCTGCAACTCCCAATACTTCGCAATCTGGTCCAAGAAATTTAATTTTACACGCGTTTGAGCCTAAATAACAAAGAATGGAGTTTTAATGCTGTTGAACTCATCTTAGCCCTACTGCCTGAGTTAAATGATTATACAGTAAAAACAAAAGTTTGTTTCAGTCCCTACCATGTGCAGATAAGGGGTTAGCAACACCCAGAATGTCCCCTCTCACAACTACCTCAGTAGGCTTTCTAAAAGGTACTCCATTTACAGGTATAAATAGTCATGATTCTTCTTTAATCGTACAAATTTATGACAGGCAAGCATCTCTATTTTCTTGGGGGGTGGGAGGTGGAGCCATACCTGGTGATGTCCAGGGGTTACGCCTGGCTCTGCACTCAGGTATTATTCCTGGTGATGCGCAGGGAACCATGTGGCATGCTGGGGATTGAACATCGGATCAGTCTACGCAAGCACCACACTGTAACTCTGGCCCCTGACAAGTAAGCTTCTATATACCTCTCGGTCTTCTCTTAACTTATGTATTAAATATGTTTGGGGAGGGGGGCCACCCTGCAGTGTTCAGGTCACTCCAGCCCCATATCAGGTATTTTTAAAACCTATTCTCTTTAGTGCCACTTTTCTTATTTGCTTACACCAATTTCAAAACAGATTCATAGTAATGATTCTTTATCAATTTTACTAAGTCCTGATAACAGGTAAAAGATAGCCAGGGAAACATCCTTAAATATCATTCCTTTAACAAACTGTCTCCACTGTCTACAAGTAATTTCTTAAAATTTTTCTCATGTTTCTTTGTCCTACTTGTAAACTATGTCAGGCAGTTTTAGGTCTTTTATCTTGTGCTCGAATGAATAAAAGTGAAGTCAATGCTCAAATGTTCCCAGACTCTGAGAGCTCAACGTTAGTCCCTGTCTCCTATCTCTCCAGTTCAACTTGAAAATACACTGAAATACACCTGCATACCCCAGCCACTATCATATTACACTCATCCATCCACCCAGTTCTACAAATTCAAGACTCAGTCATGCAAAGCTGTTAAACCTCATAGGAACATGAGTCTCCTGGGTGAAAATTCTGAGGCGCCCTCGGAAGGAACGCCAACTGAGTCCCTGCCCTGAAGTCCGGGCAGCTGCACCCAAATAGTCCAAGTCCACTGCTTCACAACTTAGCTCTGCAGAGTCACTGAACTGACGAAAACTTCAGGTACACCAGTTTTCAAGCTCAGAACTCTGGATTCTTCTTGGAAAGGGGGCTGACAAGCACCCCTCCTTCTGGAAGCCCCACAGCCACACCCACAGCCCCCAACCCCAGGTAAACTCATGGGCAGAGCTCTACAGAGCCTGGAGTTCCTGGAGACGGACATGGAAGTAGGAGCACATAAAATTTGATGGGAAAGTAACATAAAAGCCAAATAAGCTCAATAAGGGGGGGGGGGGGACCCAGAAGGCAACACATAGCTTAGTAAACCCTCAGGCAAGGCCTTAATGACCCTGTACCCTGTGGTAAAATAAAATAATTCTCATAAGTTTTCACTTATTGGAGTATTTTTTGAGAATTCTGAGTCACTTAATTGTAATAAGCAATATTACAATTAAAAATAATTTAATTGCAAGTACAATATTACAATTAAATAAAAATAATTTATTTTGTGTCTGCTCAGAGGGCAGGCATGAGGGGTAGCTGAGGAAAATGGGGACATGGCAGGGAAAAGTCCGCAGGCTGAGCCTTAGCTTGAGCCTTTGCTCTGCACATGGCCAGCCTGGGTTTGATCCTGACCTGTTGTGGTCCCCCAAACCTGCAAGGAATGAGCCCTGAGCATCGTCAGGGATGGCCCTAAAAACATAAAAAATAACTTTTCTTTAATGAAGTGTTCTCTTTAACATGAAATTTAGCTTCCTGTAAAGGCCTTTCCATTCGTTTTACAGTGATTAACAACTCATCCATATTCTCATTCACAAACATTAGATCTGGGGTAAAGCTTCTTCAAAAGAAACATTCCTAGAATGCAAATGCAGGCTATCTGAACAGTTGTTCACAAACTACCTCCAGGAGTGTGGGGAAAACAGACCAAGGGACCGGAGTGCATGCTTTATATGCAGGACCCTAGGTTCAATTCCTGTCACCAGTGTGCTGCCCTGAATACAGCCTAGTTGTGGGCCTCTCCTCCCAAAATATACACTACCTCCAATTCATTCAGCCTCTGGATACGTGGAGTAAAATGAAGTTTATCGACATCACATGCAAATGGTGGCTGCCAATCCTAGGGAAGAAGCAAAGGCATTTTATTAAAAGAATGTATAATTCTGACATTTTAAAATTTATTTAGAATGAAAATCCAAAATAAGTAAAGCAGAACATATCAACGAGCAGTTCTCAGTCATACTTCCACGGAAACAGCAAAACAGGCATGAATACCTACCCCATACTCTATACTCTGCACACTTCCCTACTCAAACTCTTCCAAATGAGCAATGTCAGAGAGACTCAGTCTGATCCCCAGGAGAAAGATATCTTTCTTAATTCCAAATTAGAATATGAGGAAAGCTGGAGAGCTAATACAGAGTTAAGGCACTTGCCTTGCTTGTGGCCAACCATGGTTCAACTCCTGGCATCATATGGATGGCCCCCAACCCCCATGGAGCAGTGATTACAGTGAGTACAGAGTGATTACAGTGTGATCAGAGTGATCAGTGAGTACAGTGAGTACAGTGAGTAGAGAGTGATTACAGTGTGAGTACAGAGTGATTACAGTGATTACAGTGAGTACAGAGCCAAGAGTAAAGCCTGAGCACCGCTGGGTGTGGCCCAACCCCACCTGACCCTCACAGAAGGGCCTACAGTTGGAAAAATAGGAGTCCTAGGATTGGACAGGAGTGCTTGATGGCTGTACCAGATAACCACTCAAAACCCAGTCTCAGAGGTCTAGTGGTAGCCTAGTGAAGCATCTCTCTCGCAAGCTTAAGGCTGGGCGTTCAACCTCCAGCACTGAGCATGATCCGGCATTACTGCTTCTTGGAATCTCCAACACCACTGCGGTATGTAATCTCTGGTCATGGCAACAGTAACAGAAAGAGGAAAAGGGGAATTCATAATAGAAACAAAATGAAAAAAATATGGTGCCAAGTGCACATTCTGGTTATTTTACTAAGACAGTGTGAAACAGTCCACTGTACTTTTCTAAGTGCATGAGTTCTATCAATCAAACACAGCAATCAGAAATAATTACACTCATGGGACTTTTAATCCACTGCCAGCAGAGCTAGCTAAATTCAATGTTCTAAATTCAGATTTTTTTTTTGGTGGGGGCTGGGGGGGGTCTACATCTGGCAGTGCTCAGGGCTTACTCTTGGCTTTATTCTCAGAGATCACTCCGGGCAGGTATGGGGACCATATGGGGTGCAAAGGATTGAACATAGGTCAGCCGCATGCAAAGCAAACACCCTAGCCTTTATACTATTGCTCAAGGACCCAGATTCTTAGTTTCTAAATTACTGACAGCAACACAAAACTGCTACATAAAATCTCAAAGGTCCTAGGAACTTCCTCTAAGAGAATTTTTAGAGTGCGAAGAGATAATACGGAGTTAAGGCTTAAACCTGCCTTTCGGTGCAGCCAACCCCAGTTCAATCCCTGACCCTGCAGATGGTTCCCTGAGCAAAAACTAGGAAGCCAGAAGTAGTCTCGCTGAGTAGCTGAGCACTGCTGGGTATACCCCTCCCCCCAAAATTTGTAAGTACTTTAAAAGGCATGTCAAAGTAAGTTGGGCATGACAAAACTATTAAATTGTAAAAAGATTTCAATGCCACCTTTGTGAAAAGCACTAAGAGAAGACTTCCTGTTCAGTCCAGGAGATGTGCTTATGACACCCACCCATGCAGTTGCAAGCCCGGCCCATGACAAGCATTGCAAAAGCTTCATTTATAAGTGACAAAGCAAGCAAGGCTGCTATTTCCATGTCCCAACATGGAATCTAGTGGGTATTCACTGCCAGTGCCCACCAGGCACGCTTTGTCATACAAGGAGTGCATGCACAGTCCTCCAAACAGAGATGCAGTGTGTTAGGAAATGCTGCTCTCACTTCCCCAGTCTCTGAGGATCTCCAACCCACTGCAACCAAGTGTTCCAGCACTGCCACTAAGTATGTGAATCCCAGACACAGCAACAATAGAAAAATGAACTATCATCAAAAATATTATCACCAAATATTGTATTACATGGGCTGGATGGAACGATAGCACAGCGGGTAAGGCGTTTGCCTTGCACACAGACAACCTGGCCAACCCGACTTCGATTCCTCCGCCCCTCTCGGAGAGTCCGGCAAGCTACTGAGAGTATCTCACCCACACGGCAAAGCCTGGCAAGCTCTCCGTGGCGTATCTGATATGCCAAACACAGTAACAATTGTCACAATGGAAATGTTACTGGGCCCGCTCAAGCAAATCGATGAACAACGGGAGGACAGTGACAGTGATTGTATTACATTAAGTTCTGGCCTGAATCTTACTTTAGGAAATAGTCATAGTCACAACAATCTCAACTTTTGAAGATGCTCAACTTCAAAATATTCATAACAACCAATACAAAATTGTTTCGGTTCTGCTTTGGAGGGCACCATTTGGGATTTGGAATGAAACATTCGAAATATGGTGGTGGGAAGGTGCGATGGTAGTGGAGCTGGTGTTCGAATAGTAATGAATTATTGTGAACAACTTTATAAAAAAGAAAATCTTAGATAAAATAAAAAAGAAAGATGCTAAACTTTACCATTAAGGACTTTATGTTCTTTCAACTCAACTCTTGCTTTCAGAATTTTTCACCATAGCAATTTCAACACAAGTGGAAGGCTCCCCTCTTGTTTTCTTCCCCGCAATTTCTCCAATATTCTTTATCAGGGGCAGAAGGTGCTCAGGAGGCCTAGGCGCCCCGATCAGCAATTCTGGGCCAATAAGCCCCTACAGTGCTGCACCCAGAGATGTTCAGGGACCAAACCGGGGGCTTCCTGATAGTGCGCACTCTGACCCCCAATATTCATCTTCTTTCCCCCCTTCAGTGCTGTCATCATCTCACACCTGAGTGTTGCTCACGGAGGCAGCCCATCAAACTGCAGAACTAGCATGCTCAGCCAGCAGTTGCTGCTCATGCATTTTCCTAGCATCTTTTTTTGTAGTTGTGGTGATAGTGTGGTAGTATACTTTGTCAGTTTTTGCCCCAGAGACTGCGTGACTGCAGGGGACCATAGGGAGCAATCCTGGGTACTGCTCTCCACATGCTCAGCACGATCCCTGAGAATCAGACACTGACCTTAAGTGCATGCCCCTGAGGCCCGGAGGCGGGGGCCCCCCCTCCACTATTCATCAAGTACAGGACCAGAGAGAGAGCTAACTGGGCATGTGGGGGGCCTACGTTTGAACACCCAAATCTCTTGGTCCCTTGAGCATCATGCCAATAGTAGCCCCTAATTAACTCAGGAAACAGCCCAGAAACATTTTTAAAAAGCACCATGTCACTTTATGCTATTTCATATAAAGTTGAACAAATGTTTATGAGACAGGTTCTGAACACAGCCAGGAGTTACTATGTTCAGAGGTCGGCTCTATTCTGTCTTCGGTGGCCCAGGATTAACTAACTCCCGCCCCTGATGGTCCCTTGGAGCACCTCCAGGGGCTATCCTGAGCACTGATCCGGAGCAGTCTCTGTACACTCTAGGGTGTGGCCCTGAATCCAAAGTCAAGCACAGCAAAATCTTTATAGTGCCTGATGTTTACAAAGTAAATGTTCAACAAACCATTACCTATTAGGAAATGCACATGTTTTAAAGCTTAAGCTTCCAAGATAAAGTTCCAACTTTTCTCTTTCTTTTGGGGCAGGGGGAAGGGGGAGGAGGGTAAGGCGTTGGTTATATAAGTTTTAATTCTCTAATCTTCACATAAAATTATGTGAAATGGAACCCACAAACTAGTATGTAACATACAAGATCCATCAGCGTGTTTTTTTCTTTTTAACATTTATTTTTCAATGGGTCCAGAGAGTAGTATGACAGGCAGGGCCCTTTCCTTACCCCACGGTTCAAAGCCCAGCACCCCGCGTGGTACCCCAAGCCCCGCTAGAGTGATCCTTCAGCAGAGCACCAGGAGTAAGCCCTGAGCACTGTCAGATGTGCCCCCCCCCCCCCAAAAAAAAAAGAAAGGAAAAATGTCGCTTGCTCTTCAGGCCCGTGTTCTTCATTTAATACATGCTCATCTGCTTGTCTGCATGTCTGCTTACTCCCGCTCTGGAGAAGTCTATATTTCCTCTCTTCCTCTCCCTCACATCTTTCTAAGTAAGTTTGTTCAGTTAAAAACTATCTTGTTTCGAACAAACAAAACAATGGTTTCCTCAGGTCAGGGATGTGGCTTAGAGGTGGAGCACATACTCTGTGTGAATATGGCCCTGAGCTCAATTCCTGGCTCTGCAAGATTAAATGGGAATAAAATAATTTTCCTAGACAACACTAAAGCTTATTGTGAGAATTTCAAAAATGACATACAGTGAAAAGAAAAATTATACACAATCCCAGAGAAAGTCTGTTACACTATGCTATTATACAAACTTCTGGTGGTTTTTTCCCCCCCTAAAATACTTCTATTTAAATACTCGAAATACGGTGGCAGGAAGGTGTAATGGTGGTGGGATTGGTCTTTGAATATTACATGTAATAAATTATTATGAACAACTTTATAAAAACAAAATTAAATTTAAAAAATTTAAAAATAAAAAATACTTCCATTTGAAAGTCAGGGCTGAGCTACAGCTTAAACACTTATTTTGTATACAAGAGAGCTCCAGGTTCAACTCTTGGTGCCAATGGTCCAGCAACAAATTAAAAAGAAACATTTTTAAACAACAAAAAAGTTGCATTGTTTTTTACTGTAAACACCTACTATTTCATTCTAGTAATAGTTCATAAATATTCTAACCACATTTAGAGATTTATTTTCCAATGTTATCTATTGTAAACAAAACATTCTTCTAGGAAACATGTTTTAGCCTCAATGATCAAACTTCAGAGACTGCATTTTCAAGAAAAAAAAAGAAAACAATTTGATTGTAGATCTATCTAGCAACAGCCTGGGAGCAGACATCTTACAAATACTCAGAACTCACAAGTGTCAATACCATCAAAGGTCAGATGACAAAGAGTTTCCATAGTTAAGAATCCTAAAAACGCCTGACAGATGTGCGGTGATATCCTGGATGGGATCCTGAACCGACGACATTCAG